TGCGTGCGCTTATTCGCAACATCGTTAGTGAAGAGCTTCACAGGCGCTGCTTTTCCTGCGCTGCGAAAGTTACTCACCCTTCTGAAAAAGATAGCTTGCAAGACCTGATTAAACAAGAGATCGCGTCCGACGTGTTCTAACGGTCCCTGCGTGCGCCAGACGCGCACGTACGCCGAAGTTGCCACGCTCTCTGCCGCACCCACCGTTTCTGTGCCTACCCCAGCAGACCATACGCCTGTGGCTTCATTGTCACTGCCAGTGCTTGCACCGCCTTACTACGCACCTCAGCGCCCACCTCGACCAATCTGTTACTACTGCGGCTATCGAGGACATATCACTCGGTTTCGTCGAAGGCGCCAACAAGACGAGCAACGCGGCTACGCTCCTGAAGAACATTGAAGCTTCCGTCCGACCATGAACTACCTACGACCACCCTCCCGATATTCCGATTACCGTTCACCATCTCCTACCTACCATACTGACATGCCTGGGAATTTCCGTACGTCTCGCCGCAGGTCGCCATTCAGTGTCGCCTCTGCGGCCCGCCTCCCACTTTCATTCCACGAATGCCCACACAGAAAACTCCCCAATGCAGTTTTAGGAGGGGGAAACTGCATCCACCGGACAGTTAACAATTCCTCCAGAGCGGCCATCAAATTTCATAGTAGTGTTTGTAGAAAGTGTACGCGTTGAGGCTCTTGTAGACACTGGCGCTGCCATTTCGATTATTCGTGCTGATTTTTGTTCCCGCCTTCGAAAAGTCACCACGCCTTATAGCGGCCCACCTCTCCGTGCAGCGACCAATGCTCTCATTCGTCCACTTGCACAGTGTACCGTTTGTGTCTGCATCGAAGGCATTCGTCATCACATCGTTTTCGCGGTATTTCGTGAGTACACTCACGCTCTCATTCTGAGGTGGGATTTCTAGTCTTGTGCGTCCGCTTTCATATCTTGTCATCAGTGCCTTCTGCATCTAAATGCCACTGACTCTTTTCCACTTGAACATGATGAACGTATCCGCCTTGTCAACATGTCAGATTATGTACTTCGGCCATACATCGAAGAAATTATAAGTGTTAATTGCACCAACATTGTGGATGGTGACGTACTAATTCTACCTTACGGCCATACCCTACGTAGGGGCATTGTGATCACACCGAGGCTTATTAGCTTCTTCGATGGGTCTACCTACCTAACCGCCATAAATCAAACACCCTAGTGTGTACTGCTCCCCTGTGGCTCAACAGTATCTTGCGTGGTCGGCAGTGATCCTGTTGCGATTGTTACTCTTCCGAACAACAACTACAACGATGTCCCAAAGTCACAATCACTGCCATTCAATGCCTCTTCCACACCTGTGTCGGCAACCATAAGCACTGACTTAACACCTGATCAAACTGAAGATTTGCTCGCCCTGTTGAATAGACATCGTTCTTTATTTGACGTGAACTTGCCCGCCCTCAGCACGACTACCACCGCTACTCACAGCATCCAGACTGACGGCTCTTGTACAGCGGCGTCCATATCGCGTGTCTCAGGCAGAACGCAAGATCATCGAGAAAAACGTCTCAGACATGCTACGACGCAACATCATACGTTCTTCCTCGAGTCCCTGGTCATCTCCAGTTGTTCTCGTTCAAAAGAAAGATGGGACAGTGCGTTTCTGCGTCAATTATCATGCGCTAAACAAAATAACGTGCAAACATGCTTATCCTCTCCCTCGAATCGATGACGCACTGGATTCATTCCAGGGCGCAAAGTATTTTTCTAGCCTCGACCTTAGGTCAGGCAGATACCGATGTCGGAGTATGATAAAGAGAAGACCGCCTTTTCAACGCCACATGGGTTGTACGAGTTTAATGTAATGCCTTTTGGACTCTGTAATGCGCCCGCCACCTTCGAACGCATGAGAGACGGCGTATTGCGTCATTTGAAATGAAAAATGTGTCTGTGCTATCTCGATGACATAGTAGTGTTTTCATCCATGTTCTCGCAGCGTCTACAACGTCTTGACGAAGTCCTCACATGCCTTGCAAAAGCCGGTCTACAGCTTAACACCAAGAAATGTACCTTTGCTAGCAAGACAATCAAGGTTCTCGGCCACCTCGTCAGCAAAAAAGGAATTCAGTCGGACCCCAAGAAGCTTGCCGCCGTCCTCGATTTTCCTCGTCCACTAAGTCAAAAGGACCTGCGCAGCTTTCTTGGGTTATCTTCTTACTTCCGGCGCTTGATACGTAGCTTCGCGGAACTTGCGTCTCCGCTCCATCAACTCCTCGCAAGGAACGTCCCCTTCATTTGGTTCGAAGACTACGAAAGCGCTTTCACGGCATTGAAGCAAGCCCTCACGTCTGATCCGGCACTGTGCCACTTCGATTCCACCGCACCACAGACGCAAGTAGTCATAGTCTAGGTGCGGTACTCTTGCAGCGTGACAAAAACTCATGCGAACGCGTTGTTGCTTACGCAAGTCGCACTCTTACCGCTCCAGAAAAGAACTACACTATCACCGAGCAGGAGTGCCTTGCTGTTGTTTGGCCAGTGCAAAAATTCCGACCATATCTTCAGGGCCATCATTTCACTGTTGTTACCGACCATAACGCCCTATGCTGGCTTTCATCGCTGAAAAACTTATCGGGTCGCCTCGGTCGCTGGGCGCTTCGCTTGCGGGAGTATGATTTCGATGTCGCCTACAGATCTGTAAAGAAGCATCAAGATGCTGATGCTCTATCGCGCTGTCTTTGCCCAGCGGAAGCCACTCACCATCGATACTCCAAAACAACAGCACCTCTCCAATCACAGCACTAAGTTCATCACCTGCCACCCTATCCGTTCTTGTTTCATAACAACGTGTCGACCCATAATGCGGCACCATTGTTGACCACTTGACCGACTCTACTACTCCTCCAAATGTCAGACTCCATCGACAACTTAAAAAATTTAAGCTTGTCGGTGGTGCTTTATACCGCTACATTTACCATATCGATGGCAACAAGTGGGTACCCGTCATCCCACATTCTCTGCAATGTGAAGTTCTGGAAGCCTTTCATGATGATCCAACCGCCACTCATCTAGGCTATCACAAGACTTACGACAAAATACGAAGTCGTTGCTTTTGGCCTGGCCTCTCTTCAGCCGTCGCTAAGTACATTGCTTCATGTGTCCATTGCCAACGGCGGAAACGACCGACAACTGGTCCGGCTGGCTTAATGCAACCTCTTCCTTGTCCCGCCTCGCCTTTTGAAGTCGTTGGAATAGACTTGTATGGCCCTCTTCCTATATCATCCAATGGGAATCTCTGGATTGTCACGGCTGTCGACCACCTTACCTGCTACGCAGATACAGCGTCTATACCATCTGGGACTGCCACTGAGGTCCCCGATTTCTTTCTTCACCACATCTTTTTGAGTCATGGAGCTCCACACATTCTCCTGAGTGATCGTGGCAAAGTCTTTCTCTCCCATTGTCGAGCAAGTTTTGCCTGCCTCGAACACTGTTCACAAGACTACTCCTAGCTGCCAGCCACAGACCAATGGATTGACTGAACGGTTTCATCGGACCCTATCGGACATGATCGCCATGTAGATTCACCCCAACCACACGAACTGGGATGCAATTCTATTCTTCGTGACGTTCGCCTATAATACGGCTGCTCAACGCACTACCGGCTTTTCTCCATTTTTTCTTGTCCATGGTCGCTCACCGAGTTTCGCTCTGGATGTCTTTCCTTTCGGCCCCTGCACCTCTCGACGGCTCCTTTCCCTGAAGAATTTTTATCTCGCCTCGCACACTGCCGCCACCAGGCTCGTGTTAACACCGACCTCTCTCAAGACACTCGAAAATCTCGCTAAGACTCTTCTCGCCGTGTTGTGAGTTTTTTCCCTGGTGACGAAGTTTTTCTATGGACTCCACTAGGCATCCATAGCTTATGCGACAACTTCATCAGTAGCTTCATTGGGCCGTACACGATGGTCGAACAGACATCTCCTGTCAATTACCGCGTTTCTCCTCTTAGTGCTAATCCTGATCATCATTGCCGGGGAACAGAGATAGTGCACGTATCTCGTTTAAAGCGTTATGCGTGACGCAATTCATAATACTGTCAAGCGACCAGGCAGGCCGCTTTCACCACGCGGGGGAATTAGTGTGAGCGCGACAAGCGAATGACTTCATTCTCTTTAGATATCATCATCACCTGTACATCTTCATCATCTGTAAATATCATCACTAGTGTGATTTGGCTCGAGCCTGGCTGAATTAACCGGTTCCTCACAATATATAGATTCACACTTAATATGCATTATAAAGGATAGCCAAATAATGTTTTATTTTTCTCGAGATATATTTATACATAATACAGAGCGTATCATAGATGATACGCTGGGCATTGCACTGCAATAGATGGTAAAACGCTATTTCGTCAGAAGGTAACTGCGAACAATTCCGTGTTATAGATGGCCATCAGCCCAAGGCTGATGTGCACTAACGTTTTGTGAGCTTCCATCAAATGACGAACACTAATGCTGCATCCGCAACGGCCGCAAGCTTTGTGTATAGTGTTCCAAAACTGTCTACTATTTGCTTGCAGGTTTTGTCTCTCGAATAAACCTTGCCTTGTGTTGAACCTGTGGTTTTATCGTTAAGGTACTAACACTTTTCAAAGCTTTTTAGCTAGTTGCTAGCGTGATGATTCCGATAACTGCGGCCACTTCATTTTTTTTTTCGCTCCGTACGTTTTTGCAGCGATTTTTCCTCGTGTTATTCTTGCGCCCCCAACTTACCAGTTTTCTAGAAAAAAAATTATTTGCAAAGATTATGCGGGTAAATGCGGTACTGCTTGACTTGAACATCGTCGCATGTGCACGTAATACTGACAATGACTGACGCAAACATCACCAAGCGTCAATGGCTATAAACAAGAATGCGGTGGCTTCGGTGTTGACAGACCTAGTTATACCAACAATGATGAACGCAATGATGAGGAACATAAGAGAAACACCAACCTGAATTACCAAGGTACTGGCATCCACGAGCTTCCACTGAATGCAGACGACCATGGCACGAGAGACTGTGCATGCCTGCATTGGTGAGCTGACAGAGTGGAAAAGACGAACAGTATTCAGGAATGGCACACAAAGACAAGCAAGAAGTATTGCTGCAGCCCAGATTTACGAGCTGCTGCGATGCAGACACAAGCATATCCAATTCAGTAACGAAGGACAGGATGAAAAAAAAATTGGGAAGGAAGAGGAGGGGAAAAGGCTGCTTGCTCAGGTAGGGACATTTGCTCGAAATTTCACGAGGTCAGTTCTATTATTTAAAATAGGTGACGAGCACTTTAAAATGCATGAGCAGCGCTGCACCCTGCTGCCTACACACTAAAAGAGCACGTAGGCTTAGCGTTAAGGCTGGTATATTGAATAACACAGAGCACAATTTGTAAACTTTCTTTTCTCCAGTTGTTCTCGTAGTCTGAATACAGAGTAATCTTTTGTACTACACTCAAGCTTCAATATAATGAACCCTGATAATTCGAAATATCAGTTATAAAGAAGTAAATGAATAGTTTTGCTATAACTACAGTGTTACGAATATACCTCTATAACGAATCTTCAGATACAACAAACTTATTTTTGTGTCAGCTGTAATTTCGTTGTAATGCGGTTTGAGCGTATGCATACCTGCCAAGTTCAAGGATTCTGAATCCGCGAGATTTCCGCAAAGGGAAGGGGGGGGAGTGTGTTTAATTATTTGCTGCTATTATTTTGTCGCCCCCCCCCCCCCAAAAACCCCTAAGGACATACAAACAAAAAAAAAACGGCGAAAAACAAGAGGGGTGGGGGGTCTCAATAGGTCTTATAGTGGCTTGGAGTGGCCGAACACACTAGTGTAGAATTTCCCGGCCACTAAGGTGAGTCTCAAAGGATCAACACAACTAGCAAAACAACTCGCGTATGTTTTCCTGGGACACCTGTGAACGGACGGGACGGTGCAGCTGGCTGCCGCAAAAGCGCGGGTCACAGCCTTGCTCACTACTAGGTTCTTTCTTTGACAGGAATGCCAAAACGCGTCTGGCCCCTTTTTATTGCGATAGCAATCATATGGACAGTGATTCACCATATATATATATATATATATATCAATGAACATTCGAGAAAGAAAAAACAGAAAATTCTGCAGATCCTACGTTCTTGGAATCGACGTTAAGCGAAGCACGTGGAGGGAAAGTGACCGTGTTGCACTTTTTTGATTGACTGACACCTCATGAAATGACGCTAAATTTACCTACAAATGTTGCATGCACAGACATATGTTTATGAGTTGCAGATGTTTATATAACAATTTGTTTGCAGTTGCCAACTGGGACTTGCGAATTAGCAACACCACATATGAAACGCTGATATGAATCGCTGATGCTCGCGAAGATACAGGCCCTGGACACTGCTACATAAATCAACTTCAGCGCATTGCAACTAACCACAATTGACGTTAACCCGACGGGACGGCTGTGTCAAAGGAGTACACATGTAATGTGTATAAAATTGGGTGGGCAGCATTGCAACCACTATGAACTTTCCATGAAGATCAGCGTCTCTTTGAAAAGTAGTTCCGAGACCTGGCGTAGCTCTGCGGTAAAATGCTCCATTGCCACGCAGAATGCTTAGGTTCAATTCCAACTAGGACCCTGACATTGGCTATTGATGTCGGGTATTTTTTAACTGCTCGTGCGTTGAAATTGTCCGTGTGTGTGTTCTTATCATTCCTGGGTAAATACTAAGTGTCAATCACCTGTGGCACACACCAGCATACCCAGCAGCTTATACCCACCCGTGGGTATGTGCCACTGTCTGGCAGGAAGTGTTTGACGACATACCCACCACATCTTACCCTACCATGCTAATTTTGGTTCACGCTAAGTTAAGGGGGTGACTACTAAAGACCAAAGTGATCTTTTGAAAAGCTGGCAGCTGACCAATACAGTAGACTCTCAGTAAACGGAAAACTGTTAAACGGAACTACCGCTTAAATGGAACAAGTGCTTCTTACAAGATCAGTTTCGTTCTTGTATTCTGTAAACTTGGTAATCTCTCATTAAATTAAACTCCTCTTAAATGGAACATTTTCCTGGTCCCTACCTGTTCCATTTAATGAGAGTCTACTGTCATCTATTGCATAACCTTACTATGAATGAATGAAAGACTGGGAGTACTCAGGGTTAATTTTCTATGTAAGACAATACATTAATAAGAACCATGAACAGTGAGCATGATGAAGCGCATGCATTAAAAAAGTACCCCACACCTTGGTTACGTAGTTCATCTTCAGCTCCCTCAGCTCGCGGCACTTGGCCACGTGCCTCATGGCATCATCCGTGATGCCCTTATCACAGTATGTAATGTTCAGGATCCTGCGCAAATGCAAAAAAGACCTTTACTATGCATACAGTCTAACTACAATTCCGTGAAGCATGTACTACAGGCAACGTCCAATTTCTTGGAACCCCGAAATTCCGGACATGCCCCCGATTTACTCGACTCATCTGTGATGCCGTCAGGTTCCCGTAGAGTCAATGTATTAAAAAGTCCGAAATGCTGAACGTTTTTAGCTTTCGCCATCGAATTTCTTGGAACTTTTTACCGCTAACCGCACAGGTGAAGTCACTATCAACGCCACCACTGTTCTCGTACCCTCAAACCCGCCGCACTGAGCTGCTGTACCCTCGAAACAGTAATTGCCGCATCAAGCGCAGGCCAATCCATTGCCAGCCATAGCTTCTGAGTAGCTTAGTCAAACCTGTGGCCGCAGTCACATGGTGCCGTTATGGTAGTGCTGTTCTCTGGCGGGAAAATCCACGATGTTGACCTATGGGCTGCTGTTGGCATGCTTGCAGACTAAGAGAAGGCAATTACGCAACGTACCCTCCAGAACTGTTTTTGCTAAGCGAGCTTTATGCCGAATGTTGAAACGGCCATCTCACCAGGAGAGGACAGAGTGTGCGATAAACTTTCACTTGCGGATGTTGCCTTCGACGATCTGCACGGTACCGATGTTTTCATTGCAACTGGGATAACCTTTGAGGGCTTTGCCAATGCTGACAAAGACCTTGTGCTGTGTACAGAACTGACCGATGATGAAATCATTCATCAAGTAACAGAGTATTTCAACGAATCTGACACGGAGATCAAAGAAGCGGCCCCTATGCAGCCAACAAGCTCGGAGTTTACGTGAGCACTGAAACCGTCATTGGTGTACAACGACAAGACGACATTGGCTGAAATTGAGGCAGACATAATCACAGGCAGGTGGAACGTTCTGCAAACAAAAATAAGAGACTTTTTTGTGCCTAGTGCTTACAAATGCTGTAGTACCGACCATATTGAATTTTGTTATAAACAGCTCTTTTTACAACCACTGGACCGATGCATTTGCTGAATTGCAATGAGGCTCCTGTACTTCTGCCATGACCCTCTCTGTCAGCGAAAAATACTTACAGTCGAACCCCACTATTACGAACGCCGCTTCAACGAAAAATTCACGGTTCCCCGTCAAGAGTCCATAGGAGTCAATGCATACATATTGTCGCCACAACAAACACCTTTTTTTCTGCCGTCCCGCTTAAACGAAATTTCACGATGCAATTTCACTCTCAGATATTTATTGCCATACAGTAAACAGACTCTTTAACATTTTGGTGCATTGTCAGAATCTGAAAATACGGCGACGAAGTCTAAAACACATGTTGGCACCACCAGAAACTGCCACTGTTCAGCAAGCAAGGGCATCGCCATAGCTCAACAGCGATGGCAATGAGACTGCCCTGCTTTTGCCATTGCCATGCTTTTGAGCCGCAGATGATCCTAAGCTGAAGCTTAGTCGCTCAGTAGTTGATGGTTTCCTTCACACAGCTGCTGGGTGCAACAACGGAACGATGCCTTTTCTGATGCCAATGCTTATAACTTTGTTCGCGCTTGGCCAGTGTGGTAACTAATCAGAGCGGCTGTTTGTCTGCATTATCAACCAAATCAACTAGCCACGAGTGATGGATGATAAGAATGGCATCGAATAAGGCAAAAGTCACCGCTCCACGATACCCTGCCTCCATCGCGGATATGTCGGATGCACTTTGACGGCGGACAGCTGCTGGTGTTGTGTTAATACAACTGCGTTCGTTCACAAAAGCGGTTGTAGGCATTGTTTCAGCCTGCTTTTCACCATGGCCTCGCTATGCATGGGTGAGAATTGAGTCGTGACGCTGCTGAGAAAGAATAGAAAGCAGCGCACAGTTTTTGAATTTTGATAATAAACGTTCCTTTGTTTTGCTAGCTCACATCAATTATATTTTTTCGATTTCACCACAACTAAATTTTCATTTCAATGAAATTTTTTCCCTGACCCGTCAGTTTTGTTTTAGCGGGGTTTGATTTTATTAAAAAAAGTGTTTTCACTTGCATTCGTTTTTTCCGAACTGCCTATTTTCCGAACACTTTCGCGGTCCCTGGAGGGTCGGTGAAATCGGACGTCGACTAGTTCAAGAAAGTAACTGCGATTCCCCACATGAAATACTCGCAGACACGTATTTCAAAGCTTATTTGCATAAAGCAAGATTGTTGTGCCAGCACATAAAATAAACTACCTAAATTTGTCTCTGAAGCTAGGAAATACCCGAGCTTTCATGCCAACGACAAAAAGTGATGTATGCTGCGAGGATAGACAATTGATATACTAAATTTGGCAGCCCCTTGAACTTAGTAGTGACAAGGCTCAACTGATGACACAGAAACGCTCCATTCCTATTTTAACAAAATGCTGTGCATAATAACCAGATATAAAAAAGAGACGAAGGCATATGTGTACATTTGAAGGAAAGAAGTGCACATTTAAGGGTTCGTTTTATTCGTTGAATACCCTCAAACCTCATTATAACGAAGTTGAAGGAAAGCCACAATTATTTCGTTATATCCATTATTTCATTACATCGATTATAACAGTTTCTAGAAATGTATGCTCAGATGGGCGCACACCTATAAGCATGCAAAGAAGGAAACCGCCTCGCGGCTCGATGTGCCGCTACGCGGCCACGCATGCGACGAAAAATAAACACAGTCGAATCTCATTAATTCGAACTTCCGGTTAATGCGAACTCACGCTGAGGTCCCGTCAAAGCTATGTGTATTCCAATGGGCGAAAATGCTCTGTAATTCGAATGCGGAAGCATTTCCGACGATTAATTCGAACATACCACCCTCCGAAAACACTCCCAGCACCATGCCCAATCTCACGGCGGCACCTCTCAACGCTGCACGCGAAGAAGGAAAAGAAGAAAAGGAAAAAAAAAAGACTGGGGGATTGTTTGCTTTCTCTCAAATGTCGATCTGCGACGCGCCAGTGCCACGCTTCGCCCTTTTCTGTCTCTGCACGTAGAGACTCTTCTTTGAAGGCCGCGTACGGAGAGAGAAAAAAAAAAAGCTGTCGCGGAGAGTCCTCCTTTCTCGGTGCAGAGGGTAGCAGCGGAGACGCAGTCGTTGCCCACGATGTTAAAAGTGTCGTTGCTGTCGTCTTTAAGGCATGAGAGGGAAATCGCTTTGCACCGCTTCTGGGTCATGTGACCTGCTGAGCACTTCCTCAATCCTCTCCGCTGGCTCTGTAAGGAGAACGACTCTCTCGGCTGCACGTGGCGTGGCTGTAAGGTCGGCGCGGGAGTTTTGAAAGAGCACAGAACGAACGTCAAACTCCGCAGAAAACGGTATACTTAACACACTACGGTCGTTTTTTTTCTTTGATAAACTATTTGATAAACCGATTTAGTTTGTTATATTCATTTACAGGTCAATTTTACTTCGTTACTGTGCAGAACATCGTTGGCGCAAACCTAAAAAACGAAACAAGAGACTCTGAAAAGCGCACTTTTCCGAGTCTCTTCTTTCGTCTTTTAAGTTTGCGCCAACGATGTTCTGCACAGTTACACACCAACTAGCCCGACAGCATACGTTACTGAGCTTACTTTGTTACAACGAGGTATAAAATGCATGGTTCTCAATGGAGCTTTCAAAGGGAATTTCATTTACTTCATTATATCCATTATTTCATTATATCCTGTTACGTTAAAATGAGGTTTGAGTGTACAATATTAATGAGATATAACAGACAATCATGCCAAGTAAAGTATAGGGGATGTTATATGAGGTAATTGTATAGTAAATGTGAAGAAAGAAAAGTGTAGGAAAAGATAACTTGCCGTGGGCAGGAACCGAACCTGCGACCTTCAAATAATGCACCTGATGCTCTACCAACTGACACGGCAGCACTTTAGTGCATAAATATGTGAATTAAACTTCAGAGCCATGACGGCGAGTGTGAAAAACTTTTACTGCCTGTTTTAGCGTCACGTAGTACCCAAACCTATTGCAAGCAGGATGCTGACCAATAATCCCTCGTGTACTATCTGACGGCACCAAGTCTGCCAGAATGCGACTTTCGCCCTGAATGAAGGAAAGAAGTGCACACTAAAGGGCTCGTCTTTTTTGTTAGATACAATATCAATGAGATCTAACAAACAATCTTGCCAAGAAAAGTATAGGAGATGTTATATGAGGTACAGTCGAACCCCGATACAACAAACGCCGCTTCAACGAAATTTTCGCTACAACGAAAACTTCACTGTTTCCCGTCAGCAGCCCATAGGAGTCAATGCATAAATATTGTCGCCACAAGGAAGACTTTTTTTTTTCTGCCGTCCTGCTTCAACGAAATTTCACGATGTAATTCCAGGTTCAGATATTTACTGCTATACAGAAAACCCAATCTCTATAACATTTTGATGCATTTTCAAAACTTGAAAATACGTCAACGAAGTCTAAAACACGCACAGGCACCACCAGAAATCGCCGCTGTTCAGCAAGCATGGGCGCCGCCATTGCTCGATAGCGATGGCAATGAGACTGCCCTGCCAGGCTCTGCTTTTGCCACTGGCTTGTTTTCGAGCCGCTGACGATCCGAAGCTGAAGCTCAGTTGCTCAGTTCATGGTTTACCTCACGCAGCTGCCGCAGCTGCTGGGTGCAACAGCGGAACGATGCCTTTTCCGATGCCAATGCTTATAATTTTGTTCGCGTTTGGCCAGTGTGGTACCTAATCAGAACGGCTGTTCATCCGTATTATCAACCAAATCAGCTAGACGCGAGTAATGGATGATAAGAATGGCATAGAATAAGGCAAAAGGCACCGCTCCACGATACCCTGCCTCCATCTCGGCATTGTCAGATACACTTCGACGGCGGACAGCTGCTGGTGTTAACATGGTAATGCAACTGTTTGGTACGTTCACGAAAGCGGTTGTAGGCATTTTTCCAGCGCGGTTGTCACCATGGCCTCTCTATGCACGACTGAATCTCGTCGTGACGCTGCTGGGAGAAAATAGGAAGCAGCGGACACTTCTTTTAATTTTAAGAATAAACGTTCCTTTGTTTTGCTAGCTTAGATCAGCTATACTTTTTTTCTATTTCACTACAACTAAATTCTCGCTTCAACGAAATATTTTCCACGCCTCATGAGTTTCGTTGTAGCGGGGTGCGACTATTGTTGTAATGTAAATGTGAAAACAGAAAAGTGAATGAAAAGATAACTTGCCATGGGCAGGGGCACCCAAACAGGCAGAAAAAGTGCTCCACACTCACTGTCATGGCTAGAGGCGGCGCTGATTGGACCTTTCCCACATTTAATTCACATATATACCCAATAAAGTGGGTGAGAGGATAGCCGCCGTGGTAGCTCAGTTGGTATAGCATCGGACGCATTATTCCAAGGTCGCAGACTTATTCCCTGCCGACGGCAAGTAATCTTTTCATTCACTTTTCTTTCTTTGCATTTACTTTATAATTACCTCACATAACATCCCCTACATTTTCCTAGGCGTGATTGTCTATTAGATCTCAATAATGCGAACACTTGGTATCTTACGTAACCACCTATAGATTTCCCATAAGTCGACTCCTCCTACGTAAAATCTTGCACCCGCCTCCGACAACATGTTGAGGACGAACTAATCTCGTCAGAAACACAGCATTACGTTAGAAACAAATGCTCGCAAATCTTTGCCAAAGTCCAGAGCATAAACCTGCTAGGCAGCTGAATAAGGAAGGTCAGGTCTTCCACATTCGCAAGTAGCGCTCACTAACCTGAGTTTGGTGCAGCCCAAACAAATGGAGGCCATGGCCGCATCGTCAACAGAACCGTTACTGCTCAAGTCCAGGGTCTCCTAGAATTTCACGAAAAAAGAAAGAAAATAATAAACTCTCTTCATTCTTCATATCCCACTAAATTGTTTCTCATTAGGCTTGTGTGAATATTCAAGTACATCGAGTATTCGAGAACTGTTCTTCATTATAGAACGAGTATTGCAGTATTCAAATTTGCTTCAATTCTTATTTTAGGGGGCAGACTGGTCATAGACATTTTTTATTTCTTCAGTGATCTTGATCAAACTGCACAGGATTATGCAGTTTTTTCTGCTGATTTCAAATATTTAATTAGTTTTCCTGTCACTCATCTTGTTCTCGAGATAACTTAAGTTCAACCCCTATTGTTTAAGACCTCCATAGAAAAAAAGTGCTTACTTAAAATTAAAAGAAATATTTAAGAAATGCCAACATAGACTAATGACTATAGATTGAAAGTATGCATGAGTTTTTTTTGTTTTAGGGCCTCTCTTGGTTATTTCACCGCAAAATGAACTATCCATTTTCAAAAGCAGTTAGAATTGTGTTACAATTTTGATGAATAATTAATTAAAAAGGCCTGTGTTGTAAATTCTGCTCCCATACTTGCATTCTACACACATACACGTTTCCATTGCAAAAAGAATTATTGTTGTGCCTGCCCTAGCTGCTGAGATATTGAAGCTTCAAATTTGAACAGTCGTAAACTTACTTTTTTTGAGAAAAATGGAAAAAACTGAAAACACACAGCTTCTTCACAAAGCAACAACCATGGTGAGCATGTTTTGCAATCCTCATAAAGGTGCTCATAAATTCATAGCAGAGCTTCTAACATAGGTCCTGGCAAATTATAAAGAAGCCTTGAAGCCTGTTCACCATTTTTGCACGTTCTGCATGTTAACAGCACCAAGAATCTGGACAGTTAGAATGACATTACAAAAAAATTACCACTTCCTGTGATGTGAAAATTTGCAGAGATATAAAAATACTTGCAGAAACCAAATATGTCAATTTTAATTTAAAACATGATTTTTTTGTCACTTTTTGGTCCCAAAAACCAGTCTGCCCCCTTATATTATTGAAAATTTCGAAGTATTTGAAATGAACAAATAGATGGATAGACAAATTTCACCGGAAATACGTCACGAAAATGCAGTGGCGCTGTTGTCGGGCGTATGGTTTCTTAGTAGGCAAAAGCCGCAGCGCGCCTACAATAGTTGATGCTGTGTTCTTGCAGACGCGTGCGCTGTTTGTGGCCGTGCAAAGAAGAAAGAGTGTTGTGCCGATGAACTTTCACGTTGATTTGCACAGAAAGATAAATGCCAGAAGGCCACAATGTTGTGTCACTCAGACTTGTCTAAACTTCGAGTTCGATGACGTCCGTTTTTCACTAGTAATGTTCCAGATTGAATCGTCCTCTGTTCCATTCAATGCGTTGCTGATGCAGCACTTGAGGAAAAACAGAAGTACGCTGCCTCAGTGCAAGGCCCTTCTGCTTCATAAATTGGCGCACCCACGATGGCGATCTATAGAATTGCACCCTTGCGAGTCCAGAGTCACACGCTATCTCGAAAGCTTTCACGCGGACACACTCTGTTGTTGCGGGTAAGAACCTCGTACGCAGCTCCCAGACAAATTCGGCAAGTAGCATTTCTAATTTGGGGTGCACTGTAGTCCCTTCACGAATCGATGTTTGTTTTTGGTTGCTGCAGAATGCGATGCACTGCTTTTGGCTCCTCCAGTATCTTGCTCTTTTCTCCGATTCACTGAAGTCTTGTAGTGCTGCCAAGTTGCTGTGCACTTTGGCATACTTACTTGATAACTTTTTTCTTAAAGACTATTTTAAACTGCTGTCGATTACCACTAATTGCTGAAGGGAATAGAAAAAAAAAAGACGGCAGGCTGACAGCAGATAACAGAAGCCAAGTAACACTGCTGGAACACTGCAGGCCTTGCCTAGCCTTGCCCAACAGCGGTGCTGCTGATGCTCACGGTGGCAATGGGGGCTTTCGACTTCAGCTGACCATTGTTGCAAGAATTTGACTTTTTTTTTTTCTGCCAGTGACTGGTATCGGGCGCGAGTACATACCGTGGCACCACCATGCAGTCGCATTACTGTGACTTGAGTGGTTAGATTGCTCCACCAGCCCTCTCGCGCGCAGCCCGCAGCCGCTTTCGCGTCTCCTTTTTTATTCCTATTCTTGTCGTACTTCACTGAACAAAATCATAAAAATTCCGCTGCAGCTTCTTCACTGACTGTACGAAGTGCTAAATGTCTGCTCTGGAAAAGTTTATTGCCTCTCATCATGCCTGACTGCTGGCGTCGTCTGCTATGGCCACATATGAAAACCGCGTAACCGAGCACGCTGCTTTTGTAAAAGGTGATGACTCATTCAGTGTCGAATTAAAGCATCGAATAGGTATTAATGCGTGCTCATGGCTAAAAGACTTATTTTTGCTAAAAGAAATGCGCCCAACCACACTACTTCATTCATTGTAGGTTTGCATCTAAAGATGGGTCGCGGTTGACACGACAAGCATGCACACATTTGCGTTTTAGTTTAGCACAGCGCAAGCGGATTCCTCACTTTGTGAGTAGTAACACAGCATTCTTACAGCCGCGTGCATCCGCAACCTTTTTGTTATGATGACAGACAAACGCGAAAGTCGCACGCATGCGGGTGCCTTATTCAGAGTTGTGAATAAGTAAAATGTCACACTAGCTAAAGGTTTCTGTGTGGCATCCTAATATTTATTGCAAAAACTGTACGGTTGTCCCACGGTGCACATATTGGATTGCCATCGAGCCACACATGAGTGAAAATAATGAATGAGTGGCTTTGTTCCACAGCTTCTACAAACAGGTAAATCTTCATAAAAAGAAAAATCCGATCCCCGACTGGACTCGATTACCATCGCAAATGCACTGCGCGCCAGCCGTATTATTGTGCGCCCTTGAATGAGCATGCTGCGAGGTACGTCTTGCGTACCGAGATCTAAACGACTTCTTGTTTCGCAAAAATGCCAGTGTCGTTATTTCACAGCTTCATTCATAAGCTGTGTGACATATCATGGCAGCTATTTGAAGATAAATCAGTTTTCAAAGCTGACCGCGTTTTCACCAGTAGATCAAAACAACATTGAGAAGAAGTGACAGGCTGTGGGCTCATTCTACAGACGTATAAGCAAGGAACGATCCGAGCTGAAGTCGCAGACAGCAGTAGCGTAGGCAGAAACTTCTTCCGGAGGGGGCACCATCTCGATTAGAATTAGGGGGCCGGGTATACAGGGAGATGTGGTCGACTGTTATTTTGTGCGCTATATGCCATGAGAACAAATTTCCTGTGTGTGTGTGTGATGGGGGGGGGGGGAGAGGGCACGGTGTGCCACTTTCTGGCTACGGTGAATGTGATTGGGCGCACACACATAGTGACAGACACCAGGGGAGGAAAGTTGGGGGCAGCGCAGACTGCAGTAAAAGTTACCATGGTAAGAGAATAGCTAAGCGGACTGGAGCATGTAAAAAAGAAGGTTTCGTCGAACGTGCTGGCCAAATACGCAGAAGCAACTGGCCTCGAAATTTACCGAGATAAGGTTAAATTCACAAAAATTGAGGGAAAGAACTGGACTTCGGGGCTTTATCTTGACTCTCTGACAATTCAGACGACGGCACACGCTCTAAATTGTAATGACCGCAGCTTCACCCACATGTACGCACCTACATCCTATTTTAAAGTATACATAATCGGACTGTATCCACATTCTCATTGCGAACAAGGCTCCCATGCAGTGACTGAAACATTTGGCTTTTATGTTAATCGTGGTCGGTGCTCATTTTAACCTCGTGGCCTTAAATTAACAACCACAACAACATAGAAAGAGAGAAGTGACAGTGACACTGCCAGCAGCCGTGACAGTGGCATCGCATAAGTAGCGCACTGCGGTGCGCCGCCGATAAAGTTTACTGCAGCTTTCCGGATTGTGTAGTCTGTGGAGGTCCGCACACATGAAGTGAGAGCAAAACAATGCTGTTCAAAAATGAAAACACCGCAAAGTCACAGATAAAAACAGCGCATCGAACTGACAGCTTTCCTTCCCCAGAGCGAGTGTCCCAAACCTGCACGCCACCGCGATTGCAGCGCCCGCTTTTCCAGTGGCGGGCCTCGCGCCCAATATAACCCTGGGGTATTGCCATTGCATTTTCTTTTTTTTAGTTTGACCAATATTCCGGGCTTTTACGGTAATAATGCCGGAAAGAGTATTCCTTCCCCTATCAGTTGTTGTCATAAACTTTAGTATATTGCATGTTCTATTAGAGAATGTAGATGAACACTTGAGAAAGTTTCACATAAAAAAAAAAATTCAGTTTTCCCAAACATGTAATTTTTAATTTACGGACAGTCAGTATTTTTTAATGGGACTGGATAGGCAAATATGTTATCCTGCACTATGAGCTTCCATGCTTGTACATTCTTAGAATATTAAAAATAACAATATTTTTTTGCAAATTAAATATTGTTAGCTTCAAAAGGTGGTGACCAACCTTAAGCTGAACAGAACAAACTAACAAAGACAAGTACTCAATTAGTGGTCACCTTTTTACTTAATTATCTTTAACTCAGCACTACAGCTTTCACATATTTGCTGTTGCATACACATGTGCGCCATTGACTTTGTGCGTTCTTTTCACAAAAGAACCAGCACAATTTCTCGCATCTCCTCATTCACAAATTCCTCATTGAAGGCCTCAATAAGCATTTGAGATCAAATACTATACAGTGGCCAGCACCAAGATCAACAGTAAAACAGCAGCCCCAATGCTTGCATAAATCTGCAAACAATTAAGCCAAGAAAGAAAAAAAAGCACAAAATGTCAAAGCGGTACTCACCAGATGGTGCAAAGTGCCGATAGCACTAATACCATTACTGCTAGCTGGAAAAAAAAAAAAAGACACTATACTTGGAGCCTTCCGATGAAATGCTCTGTGAAAAACATTTACAAATTGGCAACAGAGTATAGTAGAATATCAGTAGGTTAACTTGTGATAGCAAAGGGGCTAACTCCACTAGTTTGTGAACCAACCATACCGAACACTGTTTTTGCACTGTTTACATCCAATTAGGTGACAGCGATGGCAACAGATAAATGAAAGGGGCTCCGCAACACTTTCCAAGGATGGTAAAAAAAACACAGCCGATAGAATAGTACAGGCTCCTGAGAACATGCAAGCCGAATATTATAGCGCAGCACGCAGCCAGGAATTTACAATAAATTCTCAAAGTCGGCTCAGATATCGTTCCTTTTTTTCTTGACAAATGATGCTACAGGCAAAATATCAACCATTGGCCCATTTGAGCATGGCGCGCTTGGTCATTACTGAAGCCGCCGCGGGAAGCCACGATTTGTCGACACTTGCATGTGCGATCGCACTGAAAAGGGGCATATTGAAAGCAAAAAAGAAATGAGTGCTCGAGATGATGAGGCATGTGTGACGTATTTTCTTTCCCGTGCTATCCCTCCCCACTTAACTTGCAGCGCTTTCGCTGGGATGAGAGAAGAGACGGTGCAAAATTGCGACGTGCGACAAATCCTTTGTAATTCTGCTCATACTGGATGAATCCTAAAAGTTCTTGCAGTGGTGAATTCATGACACAATTAGCTCCTTTAGTGAATTTATTACATGGCTACTTGGAAAAGTGTTTCAGGGCCCTCTTAAAAGCTAAATATACAGGCTGATGTTCTAAGAAGCCTGAAAAGTGTAGCCTGCCTGGTAACATTAGACCACCTGTTTAAAGGGGCCCTGCAACACTTTTTGAGCATGGTCAGAAAACACTGCCGATCGGTAGTAAAGACTCCCGACAGCACGTGAATTCACAATGAATTATCAAAGTCAGCTAAAAATTGCTTTCTCTTCTCTCAACAAATGAAGTAAGACTCAAAAACCACTCCTAGAAAGCCCATAAATTAGCCATTGGCTGATTTGAATATGCCCCACTCGGTGGTTACAAAGATCTCCGCAGGAGGCCACGACCTCGAAGCCGCACATTCGAAAAAAAAAAAAAGAAAGAAAAGAAAGGAGTGCTCAAGTTCACGAGGCCGCCGTAACGTTTTTCTTTGCCCCTGCCATCCCTCCCTGCTTAGCTTTCAGCGCTTTCGTCGGGACAAGAGAAGAGAGAATGCAATTGCAGCATGCGATAAAGCTTTGCAACTCCACAAGCACTAAACCCATTCTTAAAATTTTTTCGATGCTTGTGAGGCAATAAGCCCTTTCATTTGTGGGGCAATAAGCTTTTCCAGTGAATGCATTGCATGGTTATTTGAAAAAGAGTTTCAGGGCCCCTTTAAGGCAAGGGTCGGCAACCTATGGCCCATGGGCCGCACGAGGCCTCCGGCACGGCACCAAACCATGCCCTTTTTCCATTGACACTTTTTTTCTGAAGGCTGACATGTCAATTTTTATCTAAAATAGGATTTTCGCTTGTAACCTATGCTTGTTCTCTACATTGCAGCATGTGTGCTGAAAAGTAACACGAATTTCTAATCTAGTTTCCCAGATTCATGTGAATCCACTGAAGTTTTAGTCTTTACCAATGAAGACCCCCCCCCCCCCCCGCTCCCCCTTCAACTTCTGGTGCGACCGACCGCTGTGTTAGCATCATGCAACTTGGCCCTTTGTCTCAAACGGTTGCCAACCCCTAGTTTAAAGGAATACCAAACTTCACTGAAACCTCGATATAATAGACCCAGATATAACAAAATATTGGTTATGACGAAGTAAATTAATAGCCTTGCAGAAGATTTAGTCTTAGGAATATACCTTCAAAATGAATTTTTGGGTATAATGAACTTATCTTGGCAAGATGCAACTTTGTTATAATGAGGTTTGAGTGTACCTAATCCACAGTTCGCGAAGCAGGGCATGTCGTGTCATGTCATGACAAAGACATCAACTATGGCACGTGGAACTACAACTAGAACTGTTCTCTATTCATATGTTGGTTCAGAGGAGTCAGGGGCAGCAAGCTTACGTAACGTATTGTTCCTCAACATTTTTGAGGACGATAAACTGCCGATAAATCTGATAAAACTGGTGATCCTTTGTTGCCACCCCGTCTCAAAAGCGATTCCAGTAAAGATTAGGAGTATCTCCCACATTTCCGTAAAATATTCTGCACTATGTAAAGCGCGCATTCCGTAAACTGTGACACATACGCAGGCACCACAGGCACTAAACATAGGACTTCCATAAATGAAGAAATATAAATGCCAAATGCAAGAAGCACTGTCTCTTAAAAAAAAATATGAAATCAGCTGCTGACATACGTCATTCTGGCAAGCACGTCCCATGAGAGCAATAAATTTGTAATCGAAAGCAATTCAAGTGAACATGAATGATTCGCCGAGTACCTAATTTGAATTAGCACCAGTAAAAACTATTTGCAAGATCGAAAGTTCTGCTCACCATGATATAGTGACCTTGCCAATTCCAGGGTCTTCAGTGCCTTCATGTTCTAATCAGACAACCGAATTTATGCATAATATCAGATTACTGCTAGCACGAAAAACAACAGCGTTTTTATGATAGGGAATCGCATGTACTTCACAACAATTTGGGCAACTTCCGTGACACGGACAGTGACAAGCAAGCACTAAAACACTGCCAACATAGAGCTTGCGGTGCTTACAGTAAAACTTGCTAAATTAGTGTAATCTAGTGGGTCCAGTCATGAAACAATGTAAATGAATGATTTTGCACCGAGTAAGCCCCACCAAGCTGAAATTTAAAAAAAAATAATAAATAGGAAAAGATGAGCAGTCTACGGTTGCAAGCTTACAGAGCTATTCATGATGATGGGTATTCTTGCACAAACTTATCTAAACAGTATAAAAGCCTTCAGTCCTGTCCCACATAAAAAGTGCCGCCATATCCACGAAGTGAATGATGATGAGTGGGCGAAGCTCCGGAGGTAAACCTGGTAAACCATGAATCCTCTGTACATTTTGCCCACTCGATTTTATTACATCGCTCCCCCTAGCGTACGTCGCCGCACTAAATCGAACGATTGCCTTCAACCAATGACACGCGCCATATGTGACATCATTCCTATTTTATAAGATCTCGCGTCTTTCATCAACTACAAGTACCGCTTTCTAGTTTATAACATCTTGCATCTTTTCATCATCAGCTACAAGTACCACCATCTAGTAAACACTACAAGAACTAAATGAGAGGTGGCTACATACAGGAGACGGTACCGCCATCTAGTGAACACTGCAAGAACTAAACTAGAGGTGGCTACATACAGGGGACGGTACCGCCATCTAGTGAACACTGCAAGAACTAAACTAGAGGTGGCTACATACAGGGGACGCACAGCCCACGCCCTAAGGAGCTTCGCCCCTAAAAGGTCACAGTCTGTATGCACTTGTGATGAGACTAGCTTCATGTTTCGTTTCAGTTCTTCTTGCACTGAGAGGGCGCGTCGTGTATGTGTCTCTGTCCTGTATTTATATGCGTGTGTCCTTTGCAATAAGGGAGGATTCAAGTTCACGCTTTGGACTGTTCCTGGTTGCTCTCTAGTTACTCCAGTGCTCTCAATTCATGTGGGTCCAAATCAAACCGCACTATGGTACGTGGAACTATAAGAACAAGAACACTGCATTCATAGGGTGCTCACAATTTTGACCTGGCACATACACCATTACAAACACTACATTCCACTGACATAGAGCATACTAAGAACAGCACACTACAGAGAACTTAAGTTGGTCTATAAGAAGGCAAGCTTATCAGAAGTGCACCAAATAGAAGTAATTGTTAGCGTTATAATATCTTGTAGTATTATCTTGTAGTAAAAGTAATATCTTGTTTTGATTTCGGATGCCATTTTTTTTAAATGCCTCGTCTATGCCTATACGAACTAAGAAAAATCTGATGTTGTAGAATAACCAAGTGAACAGAAATCATTGTACGTACTAGTTCTCTGATGCAGCCTTGTTTTTTTCACGTTCACTATATTCATGTGATTGTAATTAGTTTGCCATACTTGATGTCGTCAAGCCAGATTCTCTAGCACTACGTCTCTAGCACTTCGTCACTGTCTTGAACACTGCAGGCGCACTTCCTAACATGGTATTTACGACACAACACAGTTTATTTCGACGAAGGCCTTAGGTAGCCTTAGATGCCTCATCAATTGCGAAATGTGATTGTCGGCGTCATAAGGACAAGCTGCACAAAATATTCTGCTTAGGTAGTGCGCACGCCTTCACTGTCTGATAAGCACTTCATCAAGTTGAAGTCCACGCGGCTTAATAAAATACCGCAAAGTATGGCTGATGGCACTGGCCCGACAGTCCCAACACAAGTGCGGTACCGGTTAACTCAAGGTCGATTTTCGAACCCAATGAAGTTCTTCCCACCATACCACGCTGCTTACACTGCAGAGGCCATAATGAAGTCGTCTGCATGACGCTAACAACAAAACTGGCAAGGGTAGCGTGTCGATTCAGGTTCTTAATGGAATGCGTGCAAGTTTCGCGATACATTAGTTGAAAGATTTCCGACAAAGTTTTTCGTACATTTTGCTAAGCAACCATAACGTGACAATAATGTTTGCCCGTGCGCATACACACATGCATGCGCGTGTGCAAGCAGACTATCCCCTTTCTAATAGCAATCGCATGCCTTTGCCCTCGGGCTGCTATCCTTATTAGGAGCTTTTACTCGACACATTCTGCGGTCCGTTCCCCATTACGCTCAAACGCTCAATGTTACAGGAGTGCAACGTGCGTTGTTGGTTTAATACAAGTGTCTTTCAGGTGCCACCATTGCATGAAAGTCCAAAGTACATTGAAAATAAAATAAAAACTGTACTTATCTTGCAGAAGGAAAGCCAACTTTGTTGTGTGAACGGATTTACTTTTGCGTTTTGGTGATGCTTGACGCACGAGCATTTTAAAATTTATTGTCACCTTGATGTGGAGCGAGACTAAAATCTAAGCCTTCAGGACAGCAAAACGAATTTCAAATGCGCTGCCTCAAAGCACTCTTTCAGCGCGTTGCTTTGTGGCAAGAGGAACTAAAGTATGGCTGCTGTTAAAAGTGAAATTGTTGCTATTGTAAGTATGAAATCCCATACTAGTGAAGGTTTGCAGAGTCTTTTTGACGAAAATGCCAAAGCAGCAGTTCGAGACGCTCTTTTGTGGCCCGAAGTGTCGGCTCTCAACGTATCGCTGCGTAGAACGTTACCCACATGCGCGAATTTTCAAAGGAATATGGTGCAACAACTTTTCGGAGAAGGCACAGATCCTTGTGTATCCTAAAGTGCTGTCGCACGCTTGCACGTTGGCCTAGCAACAGCTATGTTTTCCGAGGCAGAAGAGGCTGCCTTATTTAGTTGTTTCTACACACGTCCCATGATACCTCGCTCACTAGAGTCCAGGCCAACGGGGACGGTCCGCTCACATGCTCAGCGTCTAACCGTCTTGCGCATGCGCAGTGGCGCAACCACTAAATGGCTGATGTCAATAAATTAATACACTGCGACTCTTCTGTGACGAAATCGATTTCATAATTTTATATGCAGTTTATTTGTTAACAGTGTTTTTGTAATATAAATTCTCCAACAGTAGCAAATGTTGGCCTGGAGAGCAAACATATAATAACTGTGGAGGTTTTACGTCTTAGAACCATGATGAGATTATGAGTGGTGCCGTAGTGGTAAGCTCAGAAAATTTTCACCATTTGGTGTTCTTTAACTGCACTCACATGCAAGCACACATGATAATAATAACAATAATAATATATGTTGGGGTTTAAGGTCCCAAAACCACCACATGATTATGAAGGGCTTCGGAAATTTCGATCATCTGGGACTCTTTAACCTGCACTTAAATCTAAGCACAGAGGCCTCAAGCACTTTCCCCTTCATCGAAAATGTAGGCCGCCGCGGCCGGGGATCGATCCTGCGACCTGCGGGTCAGCAGCAGAGTGCCTTGGCCACTAGATTACCGTGGCGAGTGATCCAAGCACATAGGCCTCTAGGATTCAGTCTCCATCGAAATGCGGTTGCTGTGGCTAGAATTCGGATCGCGCAACCTTCAGGTCAGCAGTCGAGCACCGCAGCCGCTAGACCACCGTGGCGGGTACAAGCAAACTTTGACAGAACCAATACAGCTATGAGCAATTATCAGCCACTTCGATATGTCCCCATTAGCAAAGTGTTAGGAACATACATTTGAACAAATTGTTAAAGATTGTCAGTCCTTCAAAAAAGAAAAAAAAAAAGCAATTTGACAAGCCTAGAGGTACCTGGCAAAGAGACTCAAGCTCGTGGTCTGCAATCGTGTAGCAGTTGTGAAGTACAAGCTCTGTGAGAGAACTGCACTTGGTGGCGATCCTCGAGGTGCCCCTCACTGTCAGCCCCGAAAGGTCACGCAGCACCAGGCGACGAAGCCTCAGCCCTTGAACGTTGAAACACTGAACACACAAAACACACGCATGCACAGTCAATACAGAAGCCACACGTTTTACGCAAATTACACGCAACAAACCGAAGTGGTTCATCGTGAAGAATGCGTTTGTAGAGAAGCGAAGCGCTCCAAAAAAGAGATCTGATCCTGGTTTATATTAACCAAACTAAGTTACGAGCTTTGTTTGGAAGATTACACTTGTGACAAACTTTTAAAAATCATTAAAATATAGCCGCTGACAGATCAATAGCTATGGGAAAACTACACAAGTGTTGCTTTAAATTAGCTAAGTGGCTAAACTTGAGACAAAAGGCAAATAAATGTTAATGCTATTAAAACACTAAAGTCAATATGAGAAATTGCGATTCTGATGCATCACTCTGAAAACAAAAAAAAAAAGAAAAAAAAGAGTGACCATAAAAACTGCAGCCCGCAATAGACATTTCCACATGTATATTGAAAACTTGAACCGAGCTGAAGAAATCCGTGTAACTTAGAAGGTGTTTAAAATGCTCTTCTCAAGATAACTAAGTGCACACCTGCTAAGCATATACACTCAAACTTCATTATGTCAAACTTGCTTCTAGTACCCGTGCCATACGGACATAGAAAATGACATTCGGTAGCGAAGGCACTAAGTTCCTGAATGACATTTTTTTCGGCGGCGCTGCTACACTGTCAAAGCGAACGACATTTGACTTGATGTGTCCATCGCAGCACCTTACTCGTGAGCATTGGGTGAGTAGCAATAAAAAATAAACAAGTGTTTACAAGCATCATGCACATCAGATAATAAATAGGTGTATAAATAAGCATACTACGCTGCTGTTAGATTTCGTTGGTTACTGTGTTTCACAATTGCTGCAACCGGCAATGCAGCAACTTAAGCTAATGCTAGTCAGATCTGCTGCGTAAAAAGAAAATGGCGCCTGTCGCATTTATTTTACAGCGTCTACCAGCTGAAGATGAGTTGTTAAGCACTTGTTTAAGTGATCAGCGTAAATAAAATACGCGAAAAGTTTCCTTCCAGTAGAATCCAATGTCGTTTGTTAAACCTCGTTATAACGAGACGGGCTATAACGAAATAATGGATATAACGAGCAAATCCTAATTCCCCTTGAAAGTCCCCATACAAACCAACGTATTCAAAACCTCGTTTTAACGAGGCAAAATTTGCCTGTTATGGAATATAACGAAAAAGTTTTGTTAGGAAGTAAAATTTTGAGCCGATGTCACGACAGTGCACAATGCGAATTTGAGACGGCGCACAACGCGAGAACTGTATTTAGCAGTTCAAAACTCCCGCCACGCGCCCTCCAGCAACGCGCGCAAAGCAGACGGCACGCGCTGTTTCCGGAGGAGAGTTCGCTGCACGTACGCCGCTTGGCTACCACCGACAGCGGAGCGCTCCGCGAACGTCTCACCCTTTTCTTTTCTTTTGTGTCTTCTTTATATTCTCCTGTCTCCTTTCTCATAGCGCTGAGGCACGCTTCCTAATCTTACATACCCCCTTCCCCTTGAGTAACCGGTTCCTAGAGGGCAGCGCAAAAGAGCGCCCCTTCTGCCCCTTCCTCTTCACAGTCACTTTTTCTGCAAGTGTTGTCGCTCGCCGACGTGAGCCGCGTTGCTTTTGCGTGCGTGTTTCTTCTCTTTTTCGACCGCTTCCGCCTTTTCTTTTATCGTGCTGCGCTCGTGATTCCAGCAACATGAATGCGCCAGGCGGGAAGCGAAAGCGCATAACGCTAGATTAGAAGGCGGCTATGATAAGAGCCGTCGAATCGGGGACCAAGAAAGGCAACGTGGCAAGAGACTTTGGCGTATCGACGAGCACACTGTCAACCATCTTGAGCAAGCAGGAGTCCATCATCGACGCCGTTGCACGTGGCGTGAAAGGAAGCGCTAAGAGAATGAGGGCACCTGCCTTTGAAGCGGTCGAAAGGGCCATTTTTAAATGGTTCTTGGACACGCGGGCCGTGAATCTGCCGGTGAGCGGCGCCTTGCTGCAAGGAAAAGCGAGGGACTTCGCCTGCATCATGGGCTATGACAACTTCGTAGCAAGTTCGGGTTGGCTCCAACGCTTCAAGGAACGCCACGACATTGTCGGGAGAGCGGTCTGCGGCGAATCGCAATCTGTCGACGAAGCAGAGGCTACCAAGTGGGCGAAAGAAAACATCGTGCGGCTGCTAGAAAAATACAGCGCGGAGGATATTTTTAACGCGGACGAAACCGCTCTCTTTTTCAAGATGTTGCCGCACAAGACGTTAGCCCTCAAAGGCGAGCCGTGCCATGGCGGCAAACAAGGTAAGCTGCGGATCACTGCGCTACTTTATGCAAACATGACCGGCTCTGAGAAGCTGCCAATTTCCGTAATTGGCAAAAGTGCATCCCCTCGCTGCTTTAAGGGGAAGAGGCAGCTCCCAGTCAAGTACGTAGCCAATCGCAAAGCCTGGATCACCAGGGAGATTTTTTCAAAATGGCTTTGCGAATGGGACGAGAAGCTGGCAAAGGCGAACCGCAAGGTGTGCCTTGTTTTAGATAACTGTACCGCCCACCATACCGCTGCCGTGCTTCAAAACATCGAGCTGCTGTTCCTTCCTGCCAACTGCACAGCAAAAATACAGCCGCTGGACCAATGTGTGATTATGTCGCTGAAGGCAGGTTTGGCGTTGCATAAGTGGTTGCCAGACTGGAAGGGTGGTTGTTGCCAGACTGGCGCTAAATTTGGCTGAAAATGTTTTTTCTGTAGTTGTGGTTTTTTCGTAAGAGTTTGGTGCTATCCGCGGGGCATTTTGCGAGTGCATTAGCGACGCTGGCCCTTTTAATTAACGGAATGAACCGAGCCTAGCAGAAGTCCAGCGCAGCGCTGCCGTGCAATTAAGAGGCCAATTTAATTAACGGAATAAACCGCACCTAGCAGAAGTCGAGCGCGGCGCTGCTGGGCAATTAGGAGGCCGTTATAATTAACGGAATGAACCGTCCATTACAGAAGTCGAGGCGCGTTCTCTTGCTGTGTGCGCAGCTGTGCGATTAATATATCGCGTCTCAGTATTAGGGATGACGGGGAAAATTGAATAGAGTCGCAGGAGGTGATGCGCTGCCCCCCTCCCCCATACTTTTCTTTTTTTTCCTCTCAGCTGATCGTGTCGCGTCGACCGCGCGCTACGACGGGGGACGCTACGCTTCCCCTAGCTGTGTCAGCACAAGACATATCGTTCGGACTCGTATATACATGTGATGAATAAGCGTTCCAAGGCTGGTTAATTAGGGTATGTCGGATATGCTACAGCTATGTACGCCTGGCGAAATGCACCGCGGATAGCACCAAACTCTTACGGAGAAGCCACAACTACAGGAGAAAAATTTTCGGCCAAATTTAGCGGCAGTCTGGCAACAACCACCCCAAAGTCTGGCAACAAACTTATGCAACGCCAAAAGGAACCTTGCCTCAGATAGACAAGCTCCTGCTCAACATGAGGATGAAGCGAGACACCGATGTTGACTTGTACGCTGCGCTCGAAATGCTTCAGGCGGCGTGGATGAGTGTGACGGCGACCACGATCGCAAACTGCTTTCGACACGCCTCATTTGCCGCCGCACTAGACGCCAGCGATAAGCCATCAGACGAGCCCACTGTGCCGGACGGTTTGGCCACATCAAACGAAGTCGCTGCATCATGGACGGCACTTCGTGACGCTGGTGTCGTGCCTGACAGCGAGTCGTTTTGCGACTATGTGAGTGCGGACTCTGAAGTGGTGGCAACGGAGCAGCTCCTGGATGACGATATTGTGCGCGCTGTCAGTGATCGTAACGAAACCAGTGACGATGACTCTGTCGACGAACAGGAAACAAATGTGTCGACGGCGTCGGAGGCATTAGACGCGGTGGACGTACTGCGCCGCTACTTCGGCACTCACGAGGGCGGCGAAGATGGCTTGAACATTGCGGCCGCAGCTGAGAGAGCCATCGTTCGCATCAGGAAGATGCATTAACGTCCATTTACGGACTTCTTTGCAGCTAAGTCTGCCTGAAATGCAAGCTCTGTATTTTTGAAGTGCATTAAAACAGGTGCATGACTTTTTTCCTTTTCATTTGGGAATGCGGTTATTTTGTTGCATACCACCGTGCGGCGGGATGCTATTTTGCCCGCTATTTTTGGGGGTAAGTACAGTGCATATTATTTGCGGTAAGTGCCCGCTACGGCTATAACAAAATATTGGTTATAACGAGCAAATAGCGGCGGCCCTCCAATTTCGTTATAACGAGGTTTAACTGTATACAATTACTTCATCAGCCGTGCCGTCGAGAGTACGCATTTCTCAGTCGAATGAGTTCTAGCGATGGCATTAGGTGACGAATGGCATTTGGGCGAGTGCCATTTCATTCACCCGTGTGGCACTGCGCGAATGATATTGAATCTGAAGGCATTAGGAGGTTAATGCCATTTTCTCTGCCCGTGTGGCACGGGTATTACACGAAAATAGGTTGCATCCGACCATTTGTTATAAAGGCTTATTTCTAACACTATATCTACTGCTAGACTATTTTTCATTTACTTCAATATAACCGATATCCTCGTTTATCTGTATCTCGTCAACTCAAAAATTCAATTAACTCAGACTTCGCGGTCCCAGCAAAACTGTGCATACTTCAATGGTGTCAAATGCTCGTTAATTCAGAGAAATTTAGGAATAACTCGGGCAATTCCAGAAAGGGCTAACAGGACTTCATGCTTTGAGTTGCGCAATCCCAGCGGCTTGGAGGCTCAAGTACTGCTGGCCATAACCGGTGACGGAACCAGAGTTTCGGAGGAACGATTAACCCAGACATTTTCACCGGTCCCGCGAGATCCAGGTTAACGAGGTTTTACTGAACAGACCCTTGCACTAAGCATGACACAACACACAGAGCATGAAATGACACACAGATCTTCAAGAAGTGCTAAGCTGACGTAGCAGCAAGAGAAACTACCGCAATCCAGTGCAACAGCGAGAATGCTCGCGATTCAGTCCTCTTTTTTCGTTATTTCGTAGTGAGCATTTCTTCACAGCAGACTTGATGGGTTCATGCAGCATGCGAGAGTTTAACGAACAGCTGCCGGCTCATAATAAAACTACGTGTGCGCTACGCGATACCAGCTGGCAAAAAAAAATGTGTTCTTCACTTGAAGGCATGGTTACGAAAGCTACTGGTACTAAGATAGATAGATAGATATGTGGGGGTTTAACGTCCCAAAACCACCATATGATTATGAAAGACGCCGTAGTGGAGGGCTCCGGAAATTTCGACCACCTGGGGTTCTTTAACGTGCATCCAAATCTGAGCACACGGGCCTACAACATTTCCGCCTCCATTGGAAATGCAGCCGCCGCAGCCGGGATTCAATCCCGCGACCTGCGGGTCAGCAGCCGAGTACCTTAGCCACTAGACCACCGCGGCGAGGCAGCCACTGGTACAAAAGCACCCAATAAAAAGGACAGGAATATAACGGATCTGGTAACTCAATTGGTAGAGCATCAGCCGCGTTTTTGGAAGCTTGTAGATTCAGACCCTGCCAATGGCGAGTCATTACATCGCCCACTTTTTTTTCCAATTACAAAGCTACAATTATGAAAACTACAAATGCTGCCGCTCATGGCTTCCTTGGCTTCATTACGTTGTGTCCAACAAAGAAACAAGCGCAGACTCATTTCCGGTCTTTCGACCTGTCCAACGATAACACATGCACGATTTGGTCAACAGCAGTCTTGTCACAGTAATTAAAACAGTCCCATGTTAGTGACAGTGCAATGGGTGTTGCTTGTTGTTACTTTAGTGTGGCTCATGCAACATGCATTGGCTTAACATGCTGCTGATCAACCGTCAATATGAATCGAGAATTGTGCGTTTACCTTTCGGGGGTATGCATTTCTTTTACGAAGAGACTATTGCAACTTGTTTTTTTTTTTTTTTGCAATTTTTATGATTGATTGATGTAGGGTTTAACGTCCTAAAACCACCATATGATCATGAGAGATGCCATAGTGGAGGGCTCCTGAAATTTTTGACCACCGGGGGTTCTTTAATGTTGCAATTTTTATGTATTCATAACAAGCAACACTGGACAAGCCAAAGGTGTAGCCGTGTTTCGGCACTACGTACGTTGCGTCCACAGTGGCATGGCATAAGCAAGAATGACCTTCTGGATGCAACACATACGATATTGAGGCCAATCACAAAACTGCTATTGCACTGGGTACAGTACTTTCTTTATTAAAGTCAAACAGCTGCAACGAATCACTAAATCTGATCCATTCTTCTCACTGTGCTTGTGAACACACTTTATTATTTGCATTTACTGAATAAACTTTGATGTTCCCATGGCTACGTAGGGATCAGTACGGTTCACCTCTCACAAGCGCTACTGCATGAAATGTGAGCTCGCTTACCTCCCCAGTGAAGTGGTACATGCCAGCCACATCGAAGTGCTCCAAGCTCTTGCAGCGCTGAAGAAGCCTCCGGAGGCTGAAAGAGAAGCATCACGCATGGAATGATAGAGAAACATGCAATGGGTTGCGCTTAGGACGACTGCATGCAATTCGTGGTACACCTGAGGTAATAAACATCTAAGTTGGCATTCTTTAAACATTTTAATATTTAGAGTTAGTAGACTGGCATGAAAACAGATTTTGAGTTTGTTGTGTCATATTGTACACGCAAAAATGCCGTTGCAGCCTTTTCTTTGTTTATTTTTATGTGGTCTATCAATTATGCCTGAAGTAGTTGAATGGTGCGAGAGTAATACGAATGTTCTTTGCTCACATAAAAGCATTTCCAACAACGATTGGAATACTTTACTTCAAAAAGACAAAAGCATATCCAATGCCTCCTAGAAAAGTCTATGCCTGCGACGTGAGCCGCAAATGCGCTGTCCTACCATTCTCGTTTTCCCCCTTTCCTCCCGGTCGACCCGGCGAAGTTGCAAGAGCCTCTCGCGGCAACTCCTTGCAACCTGAAGCGGCGCCGTTGGTAACTCAAGCAGACGTGACGTGCGTCGGCGGGAAGAAGGCCAGCGTCGTTGAAGGTAACGAAGGAATCGATCTAATTAGAGCGCGACAAAACGCATCTCAAACGCACTAGCAACGCGACGTCGTCAACGAGTTGACAATGCTGCGCAAAAACAGACATCGAGAGAAATAAATGCATGAGAAGAAGTTACAATGCCCGTTCTTGGTGTGCTTTTCTTGCCTTGATTTCATGTTTTCAGAGAAAAAGTGTTTTCGAGGTGTATGTTATTCTCACTGAGAAATCCAGTTTGGCTGCATGCCCCAATGCTTGCTGAGCCTCAGGAAAAAGTTGCACATACCTTCAAAGAGCTATTTAAGTGACTAGGCGGTTTTGAGAGATGACCAGGCGCCAACACGTAACGCTGTGTTGTGTACTAAGGGGTAACCAGCAGGAACACTGCTGCAAAGCTGCTTGAAAGAAAGTCCCTGTCGCGAAAAGCTCTTAAGCTGCAACTAAGTTTTCTGCCACGAAATGACTGACATTTGTGGAATGGACACTCTTCCAAGGCGATTCATGAACGCGCACGAAGCAGCTAGCTGCGCCGCTGCATCGAAGCAATGTTGCCGACATCGTCGCTCTCGCTGGCTCCGTCAGTATAAAGTCCCTAAAAAAAAACTAAAGTAGCGCCAACCGCACCCCTTTGCCTCTACCTCCTCTCCCAGCAACTACAGCAGCGCCTCTAGAGTGTCCATTAGGAAACTACGAACGCGAAAGCACTGGATATGCCAGACGCTTGGGCAGCTCGGACACTGCTGCGCCGTGCGTTCATCAAGCGGCCGTGCCTCGGTTATGCTGAAAGGATACGTGGGTGGCGTCTGTTCATGAAGCGCGTGCTCGCGAAAGTGGGCAAACAATATGGCGTTTGCGATGCCTTCACAAAAACTAGTTCGTCATGCTGCAGATTCTTAGCACCGCCGAGTTTACACGGACAGCAGTGCCGTTGCCATCGAGAGTGTCACCGCTGAGCGCGTCTGCGCGCTAACGATGGGCTATCGCGTTGACTATTGCAAGCTTGCGTTGATGTTTTTTGCCACTGCATGCAACTTGCTTATATACACGTCAGATCATCATATTTAACACTACTTTTTTATATTTTTTCTTTTGCAATCCCTCTTTCGATGCATCGCCTAGATGCCGCAGCGCCCAAAATGAGCTCTAACGGAAAGATGAGCACACGCTCATCTCTGCGGCCAGGAGCCATACAGCCTCTCAACTAGCGTCATTTACTATCAGCTATGCACACGAGGGGAGAGGAGCCTGCACATTGACACGAAAGGCGCTACAGTGAAATCTCGATACAACGAATTTGAAGGGATCGCGGAAAATAGTTCGTTATTTTGAAATATCGTTATAGTGAAAACATCGAAAATTCGCATTAAAAATCGTAAATGCAACAAAAGGAGTCGCCTACCTTTGCTGTGTACACATCCGCAAACGCTTGATTTTATGACGAGCGTGAAAAGAAACAAAACGTGAAGTATTCCGGAATGAGCGCATGTTTATTTGAAAAAGTCGGTGATCTTGGCCTGGCGGGTGCCGCTCAACTGCCGCAGGACGAATGCTTCGAAGTTGTCCACATTCTTATGCTCTGCTTCGGTGGCATTGCTGCACCTGCCAAGGTAAGTGCGCATCTTTCGCACGCATTCCATGATGTCGGCGTTGGAAAGCGATTCTTCTGGTTGGCTAACGGGCGCGGTCTCAGCGTCGTCTTCGCCATTGGCGTCCTCGTCGCTGTTATCACCACGAACAGCACTGACGATGTCATCGGTTGTCAGTTCGGCTGACGTGCATGCTTCGTCGTCGCACTGCACATAGTCCTCGAACGTCACCGAGGCATCCATCGCGAGTCTTTCGACGACTTCTTGCCACATGCCACTCGCGTCGCTTTCTTCGCTGCCTTGTTCAGATTCAGATGGCATTACTACCAAGCCAAAGGCGGCGAGGTTAGGCTCAACCTGGCTCAACGAGCATGCAAAAAAAAAAAAAAAAACATCGAAAACAAGGTACTGGCGAAGGCGATAGGGCTAGCCAGGCTAGTGCGCATTTAGCATAAGGCAACGCATGGAGAAATGAGCAGGAGCTCTGATGATGATGATAGTGCCACATATGGCGCTGGGCATTTAGACCGCCGCACGTAATTTTTAGGCTAGAAATTCGTTATTTTGAAGTGCTTTTAAGGTACCAGGGTGATAAAATTTGATACGTTATTCTGAAACATTCGTTATTCTGAAATTCGTAGTAGTGAAATATTTTTACATCGAACCAATGGACATTTGGAAGGGGATTTCCGAAATATTCGTTAATCTGAAAAAATCGTTAATCTGAGGTTCGTTATAATGGGATTTCACTGTACTTTAGTTTTTTTTCAGGGACTTTACGGCACTACAGTCGCTAGCGCCACCACAGAGCGCTCGCTGGAAACGTGTGGCAGCGTCCCTATAATTGCAACGTCCCAGGCACAGTATTTTTCTAGGAGGCATTGGTATCTCCAAGCTATAAAAGTTGGAAGGAGCAAGGTGCTTTGTGGAAACCAAAAGAGTGAGAAAAAAAAAAGTCCTCTTTCCAAAATAGTATTTGCCGCTACCGATTACAATCTCAAATTTTTGGGCGTCCTAGATCACAATTTCAGCCTGAACAGCATTCTACATTTCATCAGCGACCAATGATGCTTAGTTTTTTTCCCCTGCAATTTTCTCAGTTTAATTTTTTCGAAACTTCAAAATCTTCTGACAAGCTCCTCTCAGCTATAGAAAATTTCATCTCTGTCATTTTCGAACTGGTGAAAAGTTGCTTGTTTACAGAGTGAAGTGTGGCAAATGTTGGTCCAAAAAATGATAAATCTTTCAGAAATGGTGAAATAAGATGAAAGCTTTTTCCCTTGTTGTTCAGATGAGAACTTGGCATAAGATTTGTTTTATAAAAGCTAGGACCATAAAATTACACTTGTTACACTTCTGGACACAGGTGAAAATCCAATGACTTTTGTGCTTTAAAGAAAGCTTTCTGCTTTACTATAACCATGCTCTGCAACTCACCTCTTTTCCTTAACGTTGCTGCAATCTTTCAGACGAATATACTGCAACAAACAAAAACAAAAAAAGATCTGTTGGTCGATGCTAAAACAATTATTGACTGCACATTCACAGACATCTAACTATCCTCTTTTTTTTTTTTTCTGACACCAAGTGAAAGCATACTTCAATGCGCTCTTGTCTGAACAGCATTATATAATTGCTTCGACTGTCCGTGTCACTTTTTTAAAGAAAAAGTTCGGGGCTCAAGTCCTATGGCAAAGAAAAATTTAAGGTATAGTCCAATCTGTTGTTAAAAGAAGCACACCACGTGGTTTTCTACAAGGATTTGAAAATATTTGCTTTATGTGTAGAGCTATGCTTGCAAAGTAGCAGGGGTGCTCAACAGACATATTTATTTGTGCTGCTTTTAATAGTGCCTTACTGTTAGTTTTGTAAGCTAGTGCTCATAACCTTAATAACCTCAACCTGATGAGCAGCGGCTTACCAGTCTACTAAAGGGTCTGGAGTTGATTCAAGGTTGCCGATGCTGCACATGATGTGGTGCATGAACAGGGTGCAGAGAGGAAGGAATTTTCCCAGTTTCGTCAGAAATTTCGCATATAGTAAAATTGAAGGAGGCACTGGCTTGAAATCTTAAAATATTCGTATATTGCTGGTATTTACGGCTTCCGCACAGCTCCGACTCACAGCTCCATTATGTTCCGCTTCTCAGGTTCTTGGCTTCAAGACTGTCAATCAGGGTCATTCCATAGAGTTTTCTAAAATGAACTAGAGAAGACTCTGGCGCTGCTATCATTCATAGACTATGGGAATGGCTGGTAGTACACGGATTTGCCTAGTCTTCGTACTTGTGGAAGGCGAATCGTACTTGTGGCTTCGTTTATAGCTGTGTTTCGGTTTTGTTTCAAAGAAAACAACGAAATCGCGACCAGATCTGAAATGGTAAGCCTAAAAAATTAGTTGGTGAAGCGTAACCGCTGAACATTTGCCGATTTTTGTTTCGTGAGAAAACAGCTTCAAGCCACACGAACACAGACAGAGCCAGAAGTACGAAGATTAGACAAACCCATGTACTGCCCATCATTCTCATGCTCGCTGAAGCGCCATGCGTCGCAGCTCCCATAGACACTAGCACCAGAGCTCCCTCTAGTGTATATTTATGAAACTCTATGGGACACTCTACCTTCTTTCCTATGGCCAACTTTCAGTTGCTTCATGCTGTAAGCTTTAGCTGAATTGAATTCAGTGCATAAACATTATACCAGAAAGCAAGACGACAACAAAACAAGTGTTCAACATTGATTAGAAAAAAGTGAATTCGCTGGTATGTGCCAAAACCATAACAGGATTGCGAGGCATGGGGCTTGCTTGATATTAGGTTTAACAATCTGGGGTTCTTAAACGCAGTACTAATGTCAAACTACAAGAGTATTCTTGCAATCTGCTCTCCTGGAAACGCAGCAGCCAAGGCCAGAAATTGAACCCGCACCCTCATTATTGCAGCACAGCACCACAGTTGTAGAACTGCTACGACGATTGATAAATAACTGCGCTTTATAGGCAAAGATGCTTCAAAGAATGAGGAGCCCCTTGCTTATTGGGAGAATGGGGGCAAACAAAGCTTGGCATGCACATGCCTGATCTTCCGCTTTTCTTCCTTTGTTTCTTGTTATTGCACGGCGCAATGCTACTTTCCAACAGTTTCTTCCTTCCTCCATGCCGGAAATCCAACCAACACCCTCAAGCTTCGAAATGCAACAAAGACGACCCCGGGTGAAACAATGAAAAGCAACAACAAAATGTGTCAACCTGAAATGACAAGTGACTTCAACAAAAGATCAGATTTGCATTATCAGCAACAGCTGATCCCTGACAACCCCGCAATATAGAGAAGAGAGAGAGCACAAGTCATTGGAAAACGACCCACACAAAATACGCGTGTGACTGTTGCCGCCTTGAGGGCTTTGTTTGTGCCCACCTGCATTTCTGCACACTGCCTACGGCGGGCATTTCGCGAGTTACGCTGACCCGAACGCACCGTTTCCGCCACCACAAGCTGCACCACTCGTGTCACACGAGCGCTTGGAAGGCCGTTGAGCCGACGTTCTATTGACTCAACTGTCAAACACGAGCTGCCACACGAACAATTCAGAAGACCATTGAGGTGATAGTCTATCGAGTCAACGGAGCGCCCCACACTTGCGTTAAAATTTCTGTCTACTGAGCGACAAAACTGGAAACAGCACAAATGTGCCAACGTTGACAAATGATGGCAGTGCGGCCACAGTTTCACTGCTCAACAATTTGATAACCCAACATGCATTCATTATTACGTGTAAACAACTTATTGAAATGTTTAAATAAAATAATGGCTGTTTGTGTTCTTTTAAAGTTATTTATTTCACTTACAATAACGAGAATAACATTTGCAGCCCCACACTATTTTTGTGAGAAAGCACCTGAACCACTCAACAGCCGTTGAAACTGCCGCATTGCAGTGCGAACAACTCTATCGAGTTGATTGAGCTGCGACATTTCAACGGCCTTTCAAAAGTAACTGTTTGACACAGGTATAACTCATAGAAGCCTGGTTTGATTCTTGGAGAAAGATGAAATGAACATGTCTCACTTTTTCCTTCTTTGTAAAAGCTTTCTTTGCCACTGAACATAGCTATGAGCACTATGAATTGCTGCCGCTGTGAGGAAAACATTCAAGAAACCAAGAAAAAATATTTCACAAGTTTACATTGCACTACAATAGACTCTCAGTAAACAGAAATTCGTTAAACAATACTGGTGCTTAAATGAAACAGCTGCCTCTGATATCATCGGTGCCATACCTGTATTGTTCATCAATGTTTGCCTCTCAATAAACATAACTGCTAGTTAAAAGCATATTTACCTGGTCTCTCCGGTTTATGTTTAACAAGAGTCTACTGTGATGATGTTCCATCGTGCGTAAGATAGCCGAAGTTCCAGAATTATGGTACGTTTCTTCCTTTTTATTTCGGAATTTTGAGAGTAGTAGTTCTTAGCATGAAACTATATATACAATTTGAAAACTGGAGCAGTATATATGCTAACAACAAAATTGAAGCGTACTTCAACAAAACAATGATGCAGTTCTTTGCTAAGCCTAACCACATAACTGGCACTAATACCCTTTTTTTTTTCATGTCAGATCGGCATTATTAAGTCAAAAGACATGCTTTCTGGAAGACAAGGACGTCCAAATACCTTTCACCCTTTTTTTATCCAATTTATATGTACATCCAATGTATAACATCCAATTCATCAAATGCTGCACCAGGCCTAAACCCGCAAAGTGCATTTATTTGAAAAAAGATTGTCAATTTTTCCACCGCATTATAACAAGTTTCAATCCCTCCTCGCGTGCAGGTGACGAAAATACAGAGTAATTCGTTGGTTGCGAAGTGTGAGTGCAATGGCTTGCGATGTGCGATCTGTTGTAAGTTGTAACGCGTGGACACAGTGTTTCCAAAGAGGCCAATTGCTGAGAACATCAAAATCACATGAATCGCATGAAATCAGCGGCCTCGTCCCGATGTGCGTATTCCCTTCCTTTTTTGCTCACACATGATGGTATGTGGGCCCAAAAAGCATGACCTTTGAGATCTGCAACTTAGAGACGTACTTTTGACATTTTTCACTATAAAATATACATTTCTGAGGCTACGCTTTTCCTTGCTTTTCGCTTGCTGCTACAGATCCCCTAGTGTTGTTGAGGGCTTGAAGTAGTTTAACAAACAGGAACGCGGTGGCTCCTGCTTTAGGACGCAGGCTGGCAGGTTACGACGAGAGAACAGTGACTGAGCGGTGGGTCGTTGATAATCCAGGGAAATAATCCAGGGAAACCTGGCCAGGCAGCTCGATGCACAACTCGGGCCCGAAGCCCAAATGCTGGCACTTCTTGCCTGTCCGCACCGAAGTTCACAAGCCCTGGGCAGGAGTTCACGACCGGATGTCTATGGTCCTCTCGAGCGGGAACGCGCCGGCAAGAGGCCCCAGACGGTTTAAGTCTCTGTGGCTTCGGTCCGCAGCCCGACGGCCCATCTTCAGTGCCCAGTCCGGTTACCGCCTCTTTTCACTCCCCTGCTCTTCTGCAGGCTCAGGATCTCCCTTGAACTCCGGTCCACTTGTCAGTTTTTCATTAAAGGTTGATGAGGTACCGCATTAAGCAGCGATTGGTCCCTGAAACCTTCTGTGTTTGTTGAGCAAAGGATATTTTCTCTGTAATCTTGTTGATGTCGCATCGCGCGTCTTCATGCTCTTGCACTTGACATCTTCAATGCCATCGCTGTTTATGCAGTATCGTGCGAGCACTTTGCCACTTTATTTTTGCTCCACACACTTTCTTGAAACACAGATGTGAACACGCACTCCACATCGCAGTCATCTTAGCTGACAATGGCGTACGGTGCCTCAGTGATATTTGCTACTTATTAGCATTTCCAGTCACCACCTCGAACGAGAGTACAGGAAATGACTTCCTGTGTGCAGATGACGAGGCTGTTGTTTCTGGCCACATTGATGCTGCTGACATTTGCGGTGCCGCGAAGGTGGACCTGTGCGGTTATGAAGACCCTAACGCCGCTGCTTAAAGGACCAGTCACCAGGCCCCATACCGAATTTTAGTTAGACAGTGGAAGTTGTTGGGTGTCTGATGAGGAACATTTTGCCCCCAAAAATTTTCGAATCTGTTCATCCCGAGCGGAGAAAACAGGTTTTTTGAAGCGGCGAGAAACGAGGATGAGAGGAGGCGAGCTCGAAACCTTTGCCGCTTCTCCCCGTAGCCTTCGCAAGCCAAAGCTCTTTCCCACCCTTTCCGGCGTCCAACCAAGAGGTGACGTGCGCATGATGTGCCCAAACAAGTCCAACCCCTGAGCACGCGGGCATCGTTGCTTTGTTGACCAGCATCATTTTGTGGTTTTCTGCCTGTTTCTGTGGGATGGTTTGGAAACGCTGGCTTAGACGCGGTAGAATAGACGAGCACAATGAGTGCACGAACGCGTAGGAGCGTTCCACGGCGGTTGTCTGCTCAATGCACTGACCACGGGGACACGAACGTATGCGAAACGCTGGCGCATTAGCCCCGCATCTCGTAAAATTTCAGGCGAGAAAAAATGAAAAAAAAAAAAAAACGTGCACAATTTTTATTGCGTCTCATTATTTCGTTTTATTAATCTCTTAAAGCAACAAATACATAAATTAAGCACGTTGTGCTAAACAATTTTTGCAATGTCACTTGGTATACTGCAGGCAACGTCAGAGCAGAGTTGTCTACGTAGATGAGCAACGTCACTGCATTGCCGTGTACGTAGGGCCATTCGTACGTCCATGTCATGCCCTCATTCTCTAGGCGTGCGCTGGCAGAGGGGAGGGGGAGCAGCGTTCATCTTGAAATTTGACCCATTTCCGCGGCGCGTAGCCTTGCAAATTTTGGCAGACGTGATCATGATCGCTTCGTCTACCCATTGCGCTGCCAGCTAAAAATTGTCAAACCTGGTGAGTGGCCCTTTAAGAAGCTTTTACCGCACTACAGAGCTTGCATCGACACTCATTTTCAATCACCACTGTTGTGGCTAAAAGGGCTGAATTTGCTTATTTTGAAAGCTTCAATGCTCAATAATTGAGGAGGACTTAATGAACATGACGGCATGCAAAGGGCAAGACTATTCCAAAGACTATTTTCACTCGAAATAAACTGCGTTAGCTTGCAAAAGAAGTCAATCCATTATTATAAGCCTAAAATATGCATATTGTTTATATACCTATTTGGCAATCCTATTCGATTTCGATATATCGGGGATCGACTGTATGAGCGAGAATTCGAGCACAATTGAGGTGCTCGTCCTTATCTACAGTGACAAAATAGATGAAAGAGAGCTGAATTGGTTGGTTATACAACAAAATCAGACAGAGCTGCTGGTACAGCGCAACTATAGCAGCTGGAAATTACCCATAGACACCAAAAAATAGGTCGAATTAAAAAAAAAAGCAACAAAAAGTTACCCTCGTCTTATCCACCGGTCATTGGCAGAATAAAATGTGGAAGTCTCGCAACCATGGGCAGCTAAAGTCAAAAACCTCCAACGCCATCGTGAGCATCAGCAGCTGGCACCGGTGGGCAAGGCTAGGCAAGACCTTCACTGTTCTAGGAACACTATTTTGTCTCTGTTATCTGCTATCAGTCTGCAGTTTTCTTTTTTCCGTTTCCTTTAGAAATGACTGGCAGTCGACGGAAGTTTGCGATTTAAGAAAAACGTTATCGAGTATTCCGAAGCACACGGCAGCCTGGTGGCAAAACGGTAATTCAGTGCATTGGAGAAAAAGGTAAGATACTGGGGGAGCAAAAAAAAAACATTTTGTGGACGAACTGCAGTGCACCTAGAACTGGAAATGCTACTCGCCAAATTCGTCCGAGAGCTGCGTGCAAGATCGCTACCCATGACAGTGAAATACATCCGCGTGAAAGCTATCAAGACAGTGCATGACTCTGGAGTCAGCGAGGGAGAATTCAAGGGATTACCATCATGGCTGCCTCGACCTATGAAGCGGAACGGCTTTTCGCTGAGGCGGCATACTTTCGTCTTTCCGCAAATGATGCATCAGTAATGCATTGGATGGAACGGAGGACGATGCACTCTGGGATGTACTAGTGAAAAACAGATGTCGTTGGACAAAAGTTCGAATGAGTCCGAGTAACAGCACTTTGTGGCCTTCTGACGTTTAACTACGTAAGATTAGTGTCCAAATAAAAGGAGATGTCACCCCAGTGCAGCTGGTTGTGCCGCAATACTTTGGGATATTTAAAAATTTCTTTTATAGAGAGTAAAAGTTTCGGGGGTTGACCTAAAATCCAGTTTTTATGGTAGAATATTTTTTTTATAGCGCAGTTTCTGAATGCCCCTCTCTCTGTACCACTTGCTTTGAGCCTTTTCATGCAAAAAATTTGGCCAGAGTATTATTACAGCATGGCGTGCTCACAAGACAATGGGACAGATGTTGCCCCACGCTTTCAAAATACAGTGAAACCTCGTTAAACCGTAGTTGGCCGGAGCTCAGAAAAAGTACGTACTAAACGATAGTACTGCTTAACCGAAATAGCGTCAGATCGCTCACTTACCTGTCAAAAAAAGAAACCTTCAGGGAGTGCGATGAAAGGACAAAAAACGTGCAGCAATTTATTAACTTCGCGTGACAAAGTCTGTAATCTTCATTTGACGACGCGGCGGCCTAGCAGCAACAACAGCGGTTACAAACTCACTTATGCTGTGAGCCAGCTTTTCCGCCAGCCCCCTCTTCTCGACAAATGCCCGCATGATGCTGACGCAATGCGCAGCTTCGGCCACTGTCGGACCTGGATCACCCGTGTTGTCGCTTTCCATGTCGTCCTCATCACTATAATTCGGCACCACTTCGACAACCGAGGCAACAATGGCTTCGTCGGACATGTCCGGAGATGTCTGCACATTGCTGTCCGAGTCTCTGAAGTCGGGGAAGGAAATGCTTTCCGTAACGCCCTGCCGCTCCAGCACTTCAGCTAGCAGAGTTTTGCAAGCTTCGTCTACGATGTCCGAAGTCTGGTAGATGGTGTCACTGGCGTCATCTGCGTCGCCCGCACACACACTGAAGCCAGCACGCTGGAAGCAATTTTGAACTGTCGTTGCTTCAACCTGCCGCCACGAGTATTCGAGCAGGTGAATCGCGCCAATCAGGTCGATGGAGAATAATTTGCCACATTCAATGACAAGAAGAAATCTGCGCAGCAGATTCTCCTTGTCGAGCTGTTTTACAGCTTGAATGATGTCTTGGTCCAAGGGCTGGGCAATTGGTGTTGTGTTTGGTGGCAGAAACAACAACTTCACAGCCGTCAGGTTGTCCAGGGCGACGTGCGCCGAAGCGTTGTCTAAAATAATAACTCTTTTGTTCTTAGCCGCAAAACGACGACGATCGATGAGGCGCACATACTCCTCAAAGAGTTTTGCCGTCATCCATGCTTTGGTGTTGCTGCGATAGATGACCCTTGATGGCAACCGGGTGCCTTTGAAACATCTGGGCTTCGCCGACTTTCCAATCACGAGGAGCGGAGTTTTGTCGGTTCCAGTCATGTTTACGAAAAACGCCACTGATATTCTGTCTTTTGCATGCTTGCTGCCGGTGCACGTCTCGCCTTTGAACACGAGCATTTTGTCTGGTAGCAGCTTAAAGAATAGTGCCGATTCATCCATATTAAAGATGTCATCAGGTGCGTAGTCTTCGAAGATGTTCTTCAGCTGACTATTTTGCCACTGCTTCGCGCCATCCACGTCAGCAGCAGCACCTTCTCCCGAAACAGTCCTCGTGACAATGCCGTGCCTCGCCTTAAATCTGGCCAGCCAGCCATTGCTGCACACGAAGTTGTCATGGTTGAGCTGCGAGGCAAAAACCAGGGCCTTCTCCACGAGCAGGGGTCCGCTGATAGGCAGATTTTTTGACCGTGCAGCTTTTAGCCACTTCACCAGCTCCTTCTCTACATCCGAAAACGCCGAACCGCGTAGCCGGCACCTTTTCGCAGTTGCAGCAGCACTGCCGAGCAACTTCTCTATGGAATTCCTAAATTCCACACACCGTGGTTAACGGCAGGTCCTTTTCGCGTGCCAGCGCCGATTTTTTCGTGCCACTTTCATTAGCACGCATTATGTCCAATTTCTCCTGTATTTTCAGCACTCGATGCTTTTGTCCCAGCTTCGGCATGACGCAAGTACGAAGCAGCACAAGCACACATACACAACATGTGAAAAACTACGCGAGAGCTGTACGGCACGGATCAACCAGAGAACACCTATGCATGGCGCCAAAGGAACAAAGAAAGCAAAGCAAGCGCACACCGCGCTTGAGTGTTTGTGCAAAGCGCCATCGCGTGGACAACACCAGAAGCCTAGCCGGCCGAGTGCTTCTTGTTGCAGAAAAATCCAAGAGATGGCGCTCACCAACACAGCCGCCATCATCATCAACAGAGACAAGCGAGGTGTGTTTCGATCTCTGGGGCTTGCTGTTCTGTCGGGACGCCGAGTGGGGAACGACATGCCGCGGCGAGTGCGCAACGAAAATTGGAAAAACTACTTATTAACCGATACATATGCGATAAGCTGGTATGGCTCATGCAGATACAAAATGCATTATGTTCAACGGCCGCCGAGTCGGGGATTTGACTTCACTACTTTTAAAACGAAACTCCTGTTTACGCGTGTACGGTTTAACGAGGTTTCACTGTATATGTCATAGACCAATGGGACACATTCGTCCCACTTTTTTCTCATGAACTAATATTATTTTGGCAAAAATTGCTTCATACTACTTCTAGGCATGTTATTCAAACATTCGGCAGGCATATCTTATGTTATGTGAAAAATATAGATAAATCCACAAAGGGTTATTAGTAAGAACAGGAGGCTGACCTTGAGCTTTGGACACTTGTTAGCCAGGCCCAGAACAGATGTGTTGCTCAGCTGTACACCAGAGGCATCCAAGTATTCTAGGTTTGGGCAGCGTGACGCTGCGAAAGGATGGGATAGTTTCGTTGAAAAAAAAAATAAACCAATAAAGTTCTCGTCTCTTGCAAACATACGAGGAACCCATGAGAGTGCTCGAATGAAGATCAGCATGAAAAAAAAAAAAAAAAAAGACAACTGAAACACTGCATATTGAGTGAAGTCATTCCAGCTTCCAGCTGTTTTTAAGAGTTTGTAAGAGGTGAAATGGGGTTATTCATACAATAAAGAAGTTTAGGGTTTAAGGAGGGACGTGCCTTTGGAAATGAAATTTCTTATTTTTGATTAGATATTGATCCAAATTGACACAGACTAAGAATAGCCTCACGGTGCTCTCATAAAAATTTCGAGGTTATACCACAAAAACTTAATGATAGACAAACTATTTCTTTATTGAGCCCCGTGGAGGGGCTGGATGATTTATAAAATGACAGGAATAGTTGGTAATTACTGTACGCACAGCCAAATGTATGCTGAAGGGGGCTGCGTTTACAAAATAATTTTTTTGCAACACTAAATCTTGTAGTTAACATTTTCTCCAGCGACACTGCAATTAGCACACTTGCACTTAGAGCAAGAAGCCCTATGAAAAACTCTTTAGGGAGTCAAATGAAGAACTAAGATTGCAGCCCCCTAAAGCACAGCTCAAGGAAGCGTTACAAAACAAACGGAATGAGAGTCTGTGAAGCGGCTGTTAAGATATCTGCTCCACGAGCTGAGCATAGTGTTAAAAAAACAGTATTGAGAAAACTGCATTGAGAGGGGCCTTGCAACACTTTTTGAGCATGGTCAGAAAATGTTGCCAATCGGTAGTAGAGGCTCCCGAGAACACGCAAGCCAAATATAGTACAGCACACGGCCTGGAATTCACAATAAATTATCAAAGTAATCTAAAATTGCTTTCTCTTCTCTCAAGAAATGACGAAAGACACTCAAAATCGTGTAGAAGGCCATCATTTAGCCATTGGCTGATTTGAGCTAACTGGATTCCCAGAGAAGGCAAGCGGGTTAGGGGGAGACAGAAGATTAGGTGGGCAGATGAGATTAAAAAGTTTGCGGGTATAAATTGGCAGCAGCAAGCACAGGACCGGGTTAACTGGCGGAAACATGGGAGAGGCCTTTGTCCTGCAGTGAAAGTAGTCAGGCTGATGATGATGATGATTTGAACATGGCGCACTTGGTTGTTACAGAGATCGCCGCGGGAGCGATCACACGGAAAAAGCCACATGTTTGACGGGAAAAAAAGAAAGTTCTCAGGCTCACGAGGTGCGCGTGACGTCATTTCTTTGTCCCTGCCATCCCTCCTTGCTTAGCATCCAGCGCTTTCACCACGATGAGAGAAGAGAGAATGCGAATGAACAAATGACAATTCTTGTCAACTCTGCTCATACTGCACCGATTCTTAAAATTTTTGCAGCGTTGTATTCGTGAGACAATCAGCTCCTTTAGTGAATCCATTCCATGGTTACTTGGAAAAGAGTTTTAGGGCTCCTTTAAAGCTCGACCTCCTCTTTACGTCTCTAAAACACCTAAAAATTGTGACCTTAGGTTTGTCTTGTGATATTTGACTTCTCAGGCATGTGGGCTCTGCCCGGTGTGCCTTTGTTGCCTTTTTTTTCATAACCTCCTTTTTTTTATAACCTACAAAGAAAAAATATGGATTTCAAACCAAGTTCTCTGCATAAAGAGGTGGTGTGATAGGCATCACGGAAAGGATTGTAATTGAATAAGGCCACATACTGAAATGATTACACATCTTTGTGTTTAAGCTGTCATTAGCATAATTAAGTAATCCTTAATTACAAATAATCACTGAACATTTTTATATAGAAAGAGGTTTATTGCATCAGAAAAATGACTCTACTATGACAACCTATGCCTTCTTTCCAAATAACGAACAGTTATGAGCCCAAAACTGGTGGCACACAAGAATTTTTCTGCAGTCTATTTATTGACCAAGTCCGGCATATAAAAATTTGTGCCCTTGCTTCATAAATGCACTTTTGCCACGCCAGCCATGAAACGCATCATCATACGGCTGACCGCGGAAGCGCTAGTCTACAAGGCTTTCATTGTCTCAGAACATTCATAGACGCTCGCAGCGATACCAAGCACAGCTCCAAGCACACGTTAGCTCCAAGCTTCTTGACAGCAGGCATCGTGCAGTGTAGTTTTTCAATCTTTTCAAAGCGCCGGTAAGTAAAGTCTAGAGGATAAAAACAGCAACATTGAAACTGTCCGTGAAAATGCGGGGTGTCTAGCAATTTGACATTTCTCAATTCCCCTGACTTTTTGAGGTTTTCCATGACGATTAAAAGCAAATTCTATGACTGCACGAGGAAAAGCGGCGTCACGATAAGTGGCAAGCAAAGTTCGAACGGCGCCGACGACATGCCGATGCAGCAGCTAGCCGGCGTCGCATACGTGTGCTGCTGCCGCGATGCCCCCGCGTCACCGCTACCCGTTCACATCGTAAAGGAGCACTGACATCAAATTTACTCATGCCAAGATTTTTGCGTCCGCGAGTAGCTATAGACCCCGTAGCACCGATTCGCGACCTAAAACGCAACTGAGCGATGAATAACTACCGATTTTATTGATTTATATCACTCGTATCTAGCACTATTCAAAACAGCCGGCAATCCCGCCATTTTTAGCGCTGGGAGCAACAGCAGTGGCGCTACCTCGCGGTCCCCTCCAGATCATGCCACAGCTGACCACTTCTCTACAGAAAAGAGTGACGTCAGGCTCAGCTGCTTCGCAAACATTTCATCTGCTAGGCGAACACATTCAGTCATGCCTTGTATCTTGCATTGCTGTCGTCGCCGTACAAAGTGTAGACTTGGGTTCAATACGATAGTCTGGAGCTTGGAATCCCCGCGATTCGAGACGTCGCGAATTATTTTTGTTTTGATCGACCTTTAGCAGAACAGCGATTCCAAAATGGACGCCGTTCCAAGCAGCTCTGCAGAGGTGCCCGAGGATGTACGCTTCAGCCATATTCGCTCCTGGCTGTCAGCTATATAGGTGTGTTTTGGCGTGCAAAGCATTCAGGTATACACAGAGGGGTCAATACAATGTAGCTATCGCGAATGAGCATCAGCGGAGAAATAGAATACGTTTCCTGCTTGCCAGGTTCTTTTTTGCGCTTCCAGATGGCCCCACCTATCCAGCCTTTCGTGGTTAACATGGTATTATCACTTTTATGTGGACGGGAAATCTACAGATGAACTAAAATTCAACAATACCTGTGTGTTACTTGTTAGCGATGATATCTGACTAAACGCTCTTCCACTTTTCATAGCTTGTGGTCGTACTGATGTGTAAAACATAGGTGATATGAAAAGACACCCTCATTGGCCCCGCCGCGGTGGTCTAGTGGCTAAGGTACTCGGCTGCTGATCCGCTGGTCTGGGGATTGAATCCCAGCTGCGGCGGCTGCATTTCCGATGGAGGCGGAAATGTTGTAGGGCCGTGTACTCAAATTTGGGTGCACGTTAAAGAACCCCAGGTGGTCGAAATTTCCGGAGCCCTCCACTACGGCGTCTCTCATAATCATATGGTGGTTTTGGGACGTTAAACCCAACACATCAATCAATCAATCGACACCCTCATTGCGCTTTTGCCGTGCTTTGGACTAGATGACTGCGACTCGCAACGATTCCCCGACATGCTGACCGACAAGCACACGTCTAATCATGCCCTTTTCATTCACCTGTCTTTTAAAGGAGGTTTTTATATTGATAAATTCACGAAATCATTCAAACCGGTACGACGAAGATCAGACGCGATGAGCGAGTGCGTTTCTTCGCTTCGGCGCCACGATAAGAACACTCGGATCGTACACGTCATCGCTACTACGGCATCGTCACTCAGGATGATATTTGTGGAATGTATCACACCGAACACGTAGCACTAGTGTCGATGTCGCAGGGCAGTCTATTTTCCGTTTTTTCTCCTTAGCTTTTCTGCGCTGTTCGACATCGAATTAGAATAACTTCCATGTGACGGATGCCGTTCAAATTTGGCCAAGAAGACCTATGCATACCAAGTGATCGAATGATGGGCACATCTCGATCTTGAAATTTGATGTCAGTGCTCCTTTAATGAAAAAGCAAGCAATGCTGCATTACAAACCCTTCTGCCCTGAGGAAATCCTCCACGACCAATGCGAATGAGTACATTGCACTTTCATCTTTCATTTTCGCCTCTGCCACTGTGAGATTTCATCACGCATATTTGCTACTGAACAAGATCAAGGCATCAGTTCGTGTAGATGAATTTGAATGCGGCTCGCTCTCGATGACAGTCCACATGCCGCGACTAAATTTTTAGTATTACGTCCACGCTCACGTACATGCGGTTATGTTTATGACAAAAGAAACAGCAACATGCAAACGTGCCGCCGCGTGAGCACCTTGCTATGCTCGCGTGAGAACCGAGCGCAAACATCAGCATTTGTTGATTAGGCAGCGTTCATCTATCGCCACTCAATAACTCGAGGCTGGTGTATGTATGGATTTGATGAACCATTCAACTTACTTCTGCAACGACGATCACTCTACGGTCCCGAAACTCTTTAGCCGACAGCCTTTTTTTTTTTTTTCATCCGCTGGTGAAGTATAGTTGTGCGCTTCCACTGATATAAAGCCTTCAATTCGTCCAAGTAATGAAATTAGTGATAAAAACCAAATAGTTCACAATGTCAGCACGTGGAGTGACTGTAAGATCGGCGCGAGAGTTTTTGAAAGAGCCGCGCCGAACGAGCGTCAAACTCCGCAGAAAACGATATACTTAAGGGGGGACATGGGTCTTGAAACAATTTCGCTTACATTTTAAGCAAACTTAACGAAACTTGCCAGTCTTCTTGCTTTTTTTCTGCTGATTTGAAATATGTAATTATTTTTTCCATCAGCCAATTAGTTCTCAAGATAATTAGAGGTAATCCGCCATGTTTTTCCGTAACAATAGAAAAAAAAGTATTCATCAAAAAACTATAATCTGC